TTTCTTCCTTGAAGATCTTCTATAATGATCTTCTTTCTTCTGTAATTATCTTCTTTCTTCTGTAATTACCTTCTTTCTTCTGTAATTACCTTCTTTCTTCTGTAATTACCTTCTTTCTTCTTTCTTCTGGCTTGAATCCGGCGACGATGGACCAAGATATTAGGGATCGAACGTGGACTGTATGAAATTTACTTGCAAGTGGACTGTATTAATTGACTACGCTAGGAGACTGCTTAAAGAAAAGATGGTACTGTCGAACTATACTGTATTCAAACTATTTACAATGCGGGACTATAAACTACACTATATACAGAGGGGAGTCTTCTGGATTTCTCTGGAGTCTTGATTCTTCTCGATTTCTCTTGCTGTTTGTTCTCTTCGAGTGCCGCTTCCGAAATGAACAACTCACAGACCAAAACGCCCTTCTTATATCCCGCAAGATAGCGTCTTGGTTCGTGAGTAGCGTCGTAAGGCGATGCCGCGCGCTGATTGGTCGGCGACATCGCGTGATCTGTTGCCGGTGTGCGCGGTGCGCGGGACACAACGGGGTGTGAAGGGGCGACGGGGCGGCGGCCTTCCTCGCTGTCCGCTACAACTATACTACTAATATAACTGCAGCATGGCTCTACCACGTACGTCTGAAGTAGTCTTTGCCGGATAAGGTCTCGGATTAGGGCGACTAAATCTAATTAAGTTCAAAGCCCAGAAGACACACGTTTGCACGTTTACCACGAAAAAGAACGCCTTTCAATTTCAGGGCACTCCCCTTGTTACCTCGGCCAGTATCGGAATCTTCGGCATTGACATATCGACTAACATGCAGTTTCGTGGTCACTTGGAAGAGAATTCTGAATTGACCTCTAAAAAGCTTGGCGTGCTCAGCAGAACGGGACAGTATTTTATACCGGCATACTGCTTGCAACTTTACAATGGGCAGGTTCGGCCTAACATGGAATACTGTTCTCATCCCTGGACCGGGGCTTCCTACTACCAGCTCCTTCCACTTAACCGCATTCAGCGCTGAGCGGTTCGAATCGTCGACGAAAGAGTTCTTTCTGATCGGTCCGATTCACTGGCACTGCGAAGAGATGCTGAACCCCTTTGCATTTATAGAATGGGGAGTGTTCAGAGGAATTATTCAGATTAATTTGAGCCACAAAATGTCATCAACGCATTTCACAAATCCACATCATTGGGATGTTTTGCGGTCCACTACTGTCGAACCGATACGACTTAGGGAGCTTCAAGAAAGGAGCTTACTCCGTTTTTAAAAGTCGGCAACGCGCCTGCAATTCTCCTGGGTTGAATTTGCTAATAGGCGGTGGTCGACACTTGCCATCAAGTGAGCCGCATTCTCGTTTGTCCCTCTCTTCTATATAAAAAAGACATTAAGACGAAGTAGGCAATTATCCTTAACAATGTTCTATTTATGTTCTGGAAGTGGGAATAATTTTTGTGATTTCAATTCGAGCCGTTCGCGGTCAGGGGCCAAAAAGTTAAAACTCGAAAATTCTTTATGCGACTAGAATAGTACATAATTCTTTGAATTTCGTTCTTGGAGACCGAGGGGCCCCTTTAGCTTGGGGGCCCCGGGGCACTGCCCCGGCTAGCCCCTGGGTAGCTGCGCCACCGCCCATACTTTCAGGCGACAAAGTTACTGGATCATCGCGTTTAACCTTTTAATTCCCGACGTTTCGGGTAAAAATAATCCCGTACGAAGAAATTATCTGTAGTGTTGAGGATTGTCTGTTTAAGAATGATAGCGGTAAGGAAGATTTAGAGGCCATACGTCAAGAAATTTCGTCCTTGTTACGTCGAAGTTCAGCGCCGAAACAAAATCTCCCCAAAGACGATGTTAAAGCGTTGTACGACTTACGCAACAGACACGTCAGAGTATAATTTCAAAATACAACAACTTTTATCGGACGTAAGTACATACAAAAAGGTTAAAATCCACCCTACAACTATTACACTCAAAACAACTACCGACTCAATAAAGAAATACTCCGAAAAATTAAATCTCGACGTGAATTCGACAATACCATCATGTGCCAAACCACGGTAAGGTTGTATGGGTTCCCGAAAATACACAAACCAAACGCTCGACGACGTTCCACAGTAAGGGATAACCTCCACGAACGAGAGAATCGCGGCGATATTATCGTCGTGCCATGTATTTCTATACACTTTCTTAGAACGTGTCAACAGACGGCGATGTTATCGCGGCGATGCGACGAGTGGCTGAGTGGGAGCGAAACGTCACCGTATCGCCGCGCGCTCGCCACGGAACGTGGCGCTCTCGTAGTGACAGCGCGGTGAGCGCGTTGTCAAACGCAGGCGTCCCACCCGCATCATTTCTGCGTTGCCTATCTGCCAAAAAGGACTTTACATATTGACAAGTTTTTCATTCACTGGCGTATTTGCACGAGCACCCCACAATACTACATCCATAATAAATAATAATTTATTATGAATACATGTGTATTATGGCAATCCATAAACCAGATCGATTTACCAACTTATAAGTTGGTTCAACACTTGGTAAAAGTATTGTCACCACTGAGAGGACACACCAGAGCACACAAAGGATTCCTACCATTTTGTTAGTGAGATAAAAGACCTGCATCTCGCTGACAATGGAACTATGGTCAGTTTTGATGTTCAGTCTCTATTCACATGCTTACCTATTTAAGACTGCATCTCAATTGTAACTAGGAAGCTAGAAGATAACAACATGTCTACAGAATATGCAGTATTACTCAAACACTACCTCACATCGGGCTATCTATTGTGGAAGGAAGAATTCTACAAGCAAGTAGATGATGTGGCGATGGGCTCGCCTGTATCTCCTGTAGTCGCCGACATATTCATGGAGGACTTCGAGGAGAAAGCCCTTCTTACTGCTCCTGTAAATCCAAGATTCTACAAGCGGTACGTAGACGATACTTTCACAATTTTACCATCTGACAAAGTAACTGCAGTTTTAGTCCACCTTAATTCCATAAACTCTAAAATACAATTCACAATGGAGTTAGAGGCAAACAATTCTTTAGCTTTCCTAGATGTTTTAGTCATCCGAAATCCTGATAACACTATTGGTCACACTGTGTATAGGAAAACGACCCATACCAACCGATATTTAAATGGTGCATCGCACCATCACAGTTAGCTACTGTGGGAAAATCTTTCGAGGGATCTATAACAGAAAACATCTGGCCGCCGAGCTTCAGCACGTCGAGCAAGTATTGCAAGACAACAAGCTTCGGGCCCCGCGCCAACGTCACAGTGACCAAGTGAAGCCGGTCACAATGGAGCGTGTGCCTGCTGTACTACCCTATGTCACAGGAGTCACAGACAAGGTTCGCTACATCTTGAAGCGAACTTCCATTAAAACATACTTCAAGCTGCCGAAGAAGATTCGTCAATTTTTACCATCCGTCAAGTGTCATATCCCTCTACAAGATGCAGGAGTGTACATGCTGGATTTTGAATGTGGTTTCTCTTACATAGGACAAACAAAAAGATCTATTAAAACCCGCGTGAAAGAATCTATAGCTGACTTGAAGCACCGACGTTCCGGGAAGTCTGCAGTGTGTGAACATGTTCTAGATCGTCCCCGCCATTACATTAGATTTGATAGACCACAAATCCTCGCAAAAGAACATGGATTCCTACCAAGGATGATTCGCGAGGCTATTGAAATTAAAAAACATCCTAATTTTAATAGAGAAGATGGATGGGTGCTGCCATCTGCTTGGGATCCTATAATTAATAAAATCAAATCCAAACCCAAGCATACCACTCCAAGACTTCAAGATACTGTAAGCTCATTCTGCGTAGATCGGACCAAAAATTAATATTCAAAAAACTGAAGGTAGCCGGGCTAACTGTGACATCGGGACACCAAACACCTCAGTCCTTTGATTATCTGCAAGTTTCATTCTATGATTGGAGATGATGTATCATTTAAATGTAGAAATATATTTTTTTATTATAATATTACGATATTATTACCTATTTATTAATTTGAACAACAAATAATTTTACTTATTTGACTTCTGAATTGTATTTTACGTCCAGGTTCAAGCTTTGATTTGAATACTCGTATTATTAGCGCTGCTCCGCACTGCATGAATATCGAAGACACACTAAATGACACTAAAGTCATGTGTACGGATTGCATCATAGATAATAAACTATATATACCATGGATGCAGTACAGTTCAGTTCAACATAGTGAGTGTTCGGTATGCGAAATCTAGTACGTAGTACATATATATATAGATGGATGTAATGAACTAATGAAACATCTCATTTCATCGTCAGGATTGACAACACATAAATTTTATTTGTTTAAAGTTGGTTGCAGCTGGCATTTGTCTACAGTAGTTACCTACTTACTATCTGACGGACAATTAGACTAGTTTGACTTTTTTGTTTCATAATATTGAAGTGACAAATGAACTTACAGTTTACATGAGGATATGTCGCACATGAACATCTGTAATCAATATCTAACAAAGAAGGCTACAAGATGCATTGTCACCTCTGACAACTAAGACTGTCTTAATAATAGAGCCCTTTATTCTGAACTACAAGGTTGTTTAGTATGTTTCGATTTAATTATAAAATTTTTATCCATCGCGTGCCTCTTGGCGTAGGCCTCTTCTAACATTTTCAACCGGGTTCTGTTATTTGTCAGTTCAAAAAACGACTAATACTTAAATCTCACGGCTGGACATCATTGGAGAAGGGTAGAGCGAGAAACATAGAATGTCTTACAGCCTGTAAAAATACCGCCTCTGTGCCTTTCACACTAGAACACAATAGTGCACAACTCAGGGAGGCTAGCTCAACATGGGAAAGGTCACTGAAGTTTTACTTTGGCTACAGTACTTACTCACCAGCAAACATATTGTTAGACGTTTTTGTCATATTAACAAAAATAGGCAGGCCGGCTTAACATGTATGTGATGATGTAGAAAACTTTTTTTTTTCAGATTTGTTAGTGAGTACTGGATGCGACGCAGTGCTATTGGACCAGTCCATCGAGCTTGCAACGTTAATAATGCATTTCACAAAAGCTATAGCGTTGGCTCCTTACAAGTATCTGCAGTTTTTTTTAAATCTTTATCGCCTTTAGCGCATAAAATTCTTATAAGTACTAAATATTAGTCTGTTTTTTTGTAAGAAATAGTACACTTTTTAATATGACAGTACTTTTATTTCGAACGTCGTAGGGCAACGCGGCGTTTTATGGCTGTTGCAGTAGTTAATCGGCTCGACTGAGGAAGGACCATTGTGGGATAAAGAAAGGACTTCTGTAATCAGGCGTCTTTTTTTTTTATAGGAGAGGGGGCAAACGAGCATGCGGCTCACCTGATGGTAAGTGACTACCGCCGCCCATGAACAACTGCAACACCAGTGAGGGAATTGCAGATGCGTTGCCGGCCTTTTAAAAAGGAGTACGCTCTTTTCTTGAAGGTCCCTAAGTCGTATCGGTCCGGAAAAATCGCTGATGGTAATCGATTCCACAAGGAAGTCGTGCGAGGAAGAAAATATCTAAATCGCACAGTGGTGGACCGCCAATCATCCAGATGGTGTGGATGGTATCGGGAGTTCTGCCGCGATGTGCGTTCGTGAAATTTGGCGGCTGGGATTAATCCGAAAAATTCCTCAGAGCACTCCCCATGGTAGATGCGAAAGAAAATGCAAAGGGATGCAACATCTCTTCGCAGTGCCAATGAATCGAGCCGATAGGAAAGGGCTCGGTCGTCGACGATTCGAGCCGCTCTGCGCTGGATGCGGTCAAGTGGAAGGAGCTGGCACTGGGGAGCCCCTGCCCAGAGATGGGAACAGTATTCCATGTGAGGCCGAACCTGCGCCTTGTAAAGTTGCAGGTGGTGTGCCGGCATGAAATACTGTCCCGCTCTGCTGAGCACGCCAAGCTTTTTAGAGGCCAATTTGGCCTTCTCTTCCAAGTGACCACGAAATTGCACGTCACTCGATATGTCGACTCCGAGGATACCGATACTGGCTGAGGCAAGAAGGGGAGTGCCTTGAAACTGAGGAGATACGACAAAGGGGTTCTTTTTAGCGGTAAACGCGCAAACTTGTGTCTTCTGAGGATTAAACTGGACTAGATTTAGTCGCCCCCAATCCGAGACTTTGTTCAGCAAAGACTCGACTTCAGACACAAGTTTGTTCCGGTCTGGTTCACTGATACTACAATTCACCACCTAAATGTCCATAAATAGCGGGCACGTGTCACACAATTATCAGTTCTTATCACTGCAATCACTGCCTCCTTTTGAGTTTAATTATATTAGCGCGGCGAATTATTGATGCGGTGTTTGGATGAACTTCCTAATTGTGATGAAATCCTTTTATGGATTTTTGCGGACCTCAGGCACACAGGCGTGTTATAGACGCGGTGATTGATCATAGACTGAAGAGTTAAGGTGCAATCGGAAGTGGGGAGGCGAATTTTCCTATAGTTACAAAGCTCCATTGCGTTAACTCTTCTCAATTCGGGACAGGCTTATGTCCAACTGAATTCGGACAACCAGGCGATCGGCGAGCCTTCATCCCTTTGTTGTTGACATCGCACGCATTCGAACCAAACGGTTTTCTTCGTCTTCCGTAATGCGTACAGCAAGAGAGTGGAATAACTTTCCGGCATCTATCTTTTCGTCCGATTGTCTTAAAGACAAGAATGAATATAGGGTTTTGTTATGCTAAGATAGAGCGATTTACCAGATAGGATTTCATCCCCACTTACCACCAGGTGGGATTGTATTCAAGAATATTATAAGCACGTAGTCTCGTGAGATCTATAAAGATTTATTTATCTGTTACAGGAAGGCAAAACGCGAGTGCGACGAGCAAGCAGAATTCTATATGAGAGGCTATAATAAGAAATGCGTTCCGGTGGATAAGGACGGTAGTTGGACATCATGCAATAGAAACTCCTTTGCGCCTTTAAATATGATGAACACTAATCAAAATGCTGAAGCCTTGCTACTTGTGGTTTAGCAATGAGTTGCAGCTCTGAGGGCCGTGGGTTCGTATACCGCACGGAACATTTGTTCCGGTCTGGATGTTTGTCCTTGTGATATTATGTATGTGAACTGCCCTCACGATACAGAAGAAAATCCTAGTGTCGATAGGTAAAATTTTGTAAAATAAAAATAAAATGGAATGCCTCGTTACCAGAATAAAAGAGTCTCCGTTGTGTTCTCTTCAGTAACTTACCATGCGATACAGTAGCACTATGTTGATGACACTGATACTTCTGTGAGAGAGGAGCATGGATATTCATATTGCAGCTATATACAACTACAGAGTGGCTTAACCACGAAAAAAATACTCAATATAGAAAATGGAATAAAGAAAGGGATAGAAATATGACTGACTATTTGGCTCTTACGGCCTGTCCACCGCTGAATATAGGCCTCCCCATTTCTGATAACAGCAAATTACAATAAAAAAACTGCGGTTGCCAACCCGCTCGCCAAGTGTGGCACCTATGGCAATCATGACTACAGTTACAAAAAGACTGCCGCTATTCCTCGGCGGCCCCGCTATTCCTGGCTACTGTGACGACCATTGTAACAACTCCAGCTAGAGGCACACTGAACCTAAACGTTAAGTTGGAGAGTTATCGTCTAATGAAGTCAACGCTCCGTCACCCTCGTGCTCTAATCCAAAGTCCCGAAACCTTTAAGCTTGAGTTACAAAACCGTTTTCAGTACCATGAAGATTGCAATGCAGTAGACGATATTAATGACAAGCTCGTGGAAACTTACCATGTGGTCGGAGCTAAGTTCTGCAAGACGTGCCGCAGAAAAACATAAAAACTCCGATCACATTCTTAATCTCATGGCTGTTAGACGGGCAATGAAGCTGCAGTCTTCAGCTGATTTGACAGCATACAGGAAACTTAACAGACAGATCCCCAAAGGCATATGGCGGGACTTACGCAACTTTAATACTGCTCGTATTGAATAAGCGATCGTGCGGAACCAGGGCCCCAGTCTTTGCCAGAGATCTGTCTGCCAGAAAGAGCCAACTGTCAAAGCTGAAGGCCGAATGCGGCAGCATCATTTCCGGTACACCTGATATTTTGAGTGAGATTGAGAGGTTCTATGGGCAGCTGTACACCTCATCGTTGGAGCCACACCCAAGTGTGAGAAACGATCCTAGAGCAAGTCTTATACAAAACTATTCCGATGATATCCCGGGCGTCAGTTTGAGCGAGATTAGAATGGCTCCCCAGCGCCTCAAAAACGGCAAGCCCTCGCGCGAGAATGGAATTACTGCGGTGCTTCTGAAAGCTGATGGAAAACCGATATTTGAAGTCCTTCAGAAGCTTTTTCGAAACTTGAGCGGCGCTGCAGTCCCTTCAGCGGTGCCAAGTTGACTGTCGGTATATCGAAGTGCTGAAGTATTTGTAGAGCAGGGCTACGATAACTATCAGAGTACAGAACCAAAGTAGAAAACCTATCCAACTGCAGAGAGGTGTAAGATAGCATGATGTTATATCTCCGAAACTCTTCAACGCTGCATGGGAAGACGTTTTCAAGCTACTGGACTGAAAATGATATGATATTAACGTCAATGGCGTCTACATTACTCGCCTTCGATTTTCCGACGATATAGTCCTTATGGCAGAATCGCTGGAGGACCTAAGCACTATGCTCAAAGATCTCAATAGTGTCTCCCAACGGATAGGTCTTAAGATGAACATGCACAAACAATGGTCATGTGTAGCGTTCTGGTGACATCTATGCCGGTAGTTGTTGGGAGCACTAAGCTTGAAGTTGTTGACGAGTATGTTTACCTGGAACAAATAGTCCGACTAGGTAAGTCCAACTTAGACCGAGAGAACAATAGACGGATTCAACTCGGCTGGGCAGCGTTCGGGAGATTACGAAACATCTTCTCGTCAGGCATACCTCAAAACAAGATTGTTCAACCAGTGCGTGTTGCTAGGGATAACCTATGGATCTGAGATGTGGTCCTGCACTGCTGGCCGTATGTGAAAGCTCAAGGTCGCTCAGCGAGCTATGGAGACGGCTATGCTTGGAGTTTCTCTGCGTGATAGACTTAAAAACGAGAATATCTGCCGTAGAACCAGAGTAACCGACGTAGCTCAACTGATTAGTAAGCTGAAGTGGCAATGGGCCGGCCATATAGCTCGAAGAATCGACAAGCGATGGGAACGGAAAGTTCTCGAGTGGCAGCATTCTCGATCCTAGTACCAGACGTCTCGCATCCTTGACTCTTTCTCCGATCAAAGATCTGGGTATTGGTGATAACTAAAATCCTTTAAATTTGTCCTATGACCAATGGTTTGAGTGCAGTCTATCTTCTTCATCAACCAGTAAAAGTCCACTGCAGGACATAGGCTTTATCCGAAGTACCCGCCTTAAGCGCCATGCAGGCGTCTCCTCGATCGCAGTTCTAGACGTCTCGCATACTTGACTCGGCCTCCCGTCAACGGTCTGGCTATTTTTGGTATGGCTTAGACGATATGGTTTTATAGCCATCTGATGGAAATCATTAGCACTTTCTGGCATTTTCCTGTCTATCAATTGTTACGATACCCATAGGTCGATGGACTCTTCTTCGCCTTCACCACACGTTACCTGATTAGGGTCCTATGTTGTGCAACAAATGATTATCGCAACAATCTTTTATATTTTTCAGGTAATGGTATTAGTAGGCTTTGGCAGCAAATGATAGCTGTGTTGCCATATTGCAGCTTGGAGAAGTCACGCGCCCTCTGTGCCAAATATAAGACGCCATTAGCCTTGTATGAGGTAATTTTTTCCTCTAAAAAATATTTCGAAGACATGTGAAGTCCGCCAACACGCATTGCCAGCGCGATAGATATTTTCTTGTCTAAAACTCTTTCATAGATGAGAGGCGTCCCGTGCCCAGGAGTGGTACGGATATAGGCACTTCGATTTTTAATTGTTACTGGTGAAGGATAAGGGAATATGTCAACTATTCTCCAACTATAAACCTCACCCACATGAAGTGCATTTTGCTAGGATAAAGCTACGATGACGGACTCAGCGAAACATTCTGAACCTAAAATTCACACTGGTGATTAGTAGCAGCATCAGTGCGAGGTTATCGGCTTTGCGTTCACCAACCCGCCTGCCCAACGTGTTGAGTGTGAAATGTGATTGATGTTTTTGAAAAGTGTTCTTAATATCGTTTTGTCACCAGCGAGGTCAGTCAAGTCGAATTTATATAATCGTAACTCGTAATTTATATAATATAAAATTATACTTTGAATAGAAAGTAAAAGCCGACTTCAAAGAACTAAAATGAATAAAATGATTTTTACCTAATAGCATCTGAAGTCGGTGCAAGGACATTTTTTTTATAGGATAAGGGTGACAAACGCGCATTCAGTCTAACTGATGGCAAGTGGTTGTTGCGGCCCATAGACATCTATGTACATCTATCCTCGATTACAAATCTAAATGCAGATGCGTCGTCACCCGTGAGGACTAAGATGGAATGCCTCGTTTCCAGTAAAAAGGGTCTCCAGTTCTCTACACTCACCATACGAAACACAGCAGTGTTAAGCTGCTATTTTACGCTGGTATTCTATGAGAGCGTGGTCCTTCCCCGGTCGAGCCGACCCATTCGTACTACAACTAGACTACTAATATAGCTGTAGCATGGCTCTACCACGTATAATAGTACACAGTGTATTCTTTCTCTTTTCCTTCTTTTTTTTAAACCCCACTCCTAACCTAGGATTCGTTTATCGTGGATGCAGCTTACATACATAAATTGCACAAAGACGAACATCCAGACCCGGAACAGTTGTAATTTATACATGTACTTGTTCCATGCCGGACTTGAACCCGCGGGCCTCAGCGCCGTAACTCAATGCAAAGCCAGTGAGCCACGGAGCCGTCTATGTATAGAAGAATTAAAACCCCCTACTATTATTACTACTATTATTATTATTAAACCCCCGTTGTGAGCCCCCTATTGGGCTGGGGAGTTTGGTAGAGATATGGGGAGGCTTATGAACCCTGGGTTGGTGGAATAGCGATTTTGTCAAGAACGTAGTACAATATCAAACTTAAATCTAGGGTTCACAGTGTCAAAATTTTAGTCTAGACCATTTTTTTTATAGGATAGGGTGACTAACGAGCACACAGTCCACCTGATGGTAAGTGGTTACTGTGACCCATAGATCAAGATGCAGATGCGTTGTCACCCGTGAGGACTAAGATGGAATGCCTCTTTGCCAGTAAAAAGGGTCTCCGGTTCTCTACATTCACCATACGAAACACAGCAGCGTTAACCTGCTATTTTACGCTGTTAGAAAACCTGGTAGGTGAGAGCGTGGTCCTTCCCCGGTCGAGCCGACATATTCGTGCTACAACTATACTACTAATATAGTTGCAGCATGGCTCTACCACGTAGAAAAAGATACTATGTTACCCAAATTTTGGCATTGTGAAGTTAAGAGTTTAAACTCAAGATTGTCTCTGAATATAGGCCTAAGACCACAGTTTAGAGACCTTAGTTGTGAAACGCCTTTGATGTTAGGCGATGCCGCCGCCCGCGTAGTTATTTACGCTGGCAGCGTGTATGCTAAGTGTTGTCACGATTATGGAAAATTAAATAATTTTGGATATTATAATACTTATTATTATTTATTAACATTATGTACATACTTATAAGTTAAAAACATTTGTTGAAAAAGATCGTTTTTTATTACTACAAGAAAAACACCTTTACAAGTGTTATATTGCCAAATATTTTCATGACACTTTCTTTTGTCTTTTGTTTTTTAGTTTTCGATTGTTAACTAGTGTATTCGCATTCGGATAAACAACTTTATCAAAAAAAAAAAACGAGGAAAACTTAAGCATGGGAGTCATTTGAAAGAACACAAATTTGCTTAGTAACTCATATAACCATAACAGTTATTCACCTTTATAGATAATATATTTTTCGAAAATGGCACTTAAAATTAATTAAATAAGTACTATAAAACATGCTCGCGTCAATCGCATGATTGTCTATCAGACTCAGTGAAATGCGCTAGGACGAGGTCGGCCCGCAACCTGCCCCGCTTGACCCCCGCCGTTGCTCTACACAAGTATATTCGTTTCCCAACTGTAAGGTCTAAATTGTGCTAAGATTAAGAAGCGACAGTGGGAATTGCCAGAAAGCTCTCATGGCTTTCGACGTATGGCAGTTTGGCGTTTACACCAGTCAAAATGGCCAGATCGGTAACGGAGAAAATTACCGCCGGTCCTCCTGCCAGTGTAGCAGCCGGCTAACTGATAAAGAAAAAGGACATATATATGTATATATTTTAAACATATTTTATAACCAATTGTCTTTATGTTCATTGGTAATATTTCGTTTTAGACTCTACAGTCACCAGAAGGTGTAAGGGCGGTAGCGGACTTGGGGGTGACCCGCCCTGTGATTCCCCGTAGTAGGGTGCGTCGTATCGGTCCAGAGTTTGCCAGAAAACTGCAAATTTTGTTTACCGCTGAAGACGGAAATACTTTGATTGATTAAACCTTATGATTACATACAAAATAATTACACTACATACATTACGTACATTTTTACTTACAAAATAACATTTTTTGTAAACTATTAAAATATGAAAAGATCTCACTATCATAGGTATTATAGCTTGTGTACTATTATAGGCTTTCAGAATTTTAGTAACATCTTACATTTTCAATCAATATACACGATCATCAGGTAAATCATATATATCATATATCAGACAAAATGGGAGAGAATTATATGAAGTGTAAACCTTTATAAATTAACATAAACTGACAACAGTTTTCAATAGTAGTAATGCATAATTCTCTGTAGTAATAACGAAGTATTTTATATTGATTTTATATTGATAAAAATGAAAAATAAATTAATTATTCAAAGAACTTTGTTGTTTTACTGCAGTAACATTTCGAAAAAGTCAATAGTTACGAGTGGAAAAAGATTAAACAGAGAAAGATATACAAAAATTCGCGTTAAGCTTTGTTCATTTTCTTTTAAATTTTACGACATCTTATAGGTACAACTTTCCACTAGTCACTGTATAAACTTTCAGGATGCCTACTTAAAACGTAATATAAAAATGATATCACATCAATTACGTTTCGATGCATGCTGGTAATCGCCAACTTCAGATTTTACCCAGATTATTTACTCACTTGTTGATATGCTGGGTAGAATAGAAGAATAGTATAGAATATTTTTTTTAATTCAATATAGATCACATGTGTAATTCTTATTGAAAGTCATTTTTTACTTTGGAAGACTGCTTGGAAGCAATCACCTCATTCCCAGGGGTTATTATAAACTACGGTTCTTATTGAACTACTATTATATACCTTACCTCCATAAATGAATCCTATACCTATAGTATCAAGTCTTTTTAAGACACACTTTTTTCCTTAAAATCCCAAACAAAACGTCTTATGCCTCATCCACACGCTTGCCAAACAACGGCGAACAGCATTCACCAAACAGCAATCACGAACCTGTGGATGGTTGTTTGCCTGTTTGTTTGTATGTGAATGCCAGTGATCGGTGTTGGTGTCGGTTTTTGTGCACCGATCAAAGAGTGTTCGACAAACGTGTTTGCTATGTATCCACACGTTTGGCAATCAGCCAGTAGTACGCGCGAGCTTGCGGCTTGCGGGCGGCGGAAGAAGTTACTAGTGGCTATTATTATTATACTCTACGCCAATATTACCAATCCGAAATTTGTCTCGGAGGTAAATATGATTTCAGAAGTTGAGTTTACTACCAATTCTACTTCGAAAAGTTAGTAGATCTACCACCTATTTTTTTTTAAGTTTTCTAGAGACCTCCCAATAATAATGTGATTGACTCTTAATAAATGTTTCTATTGGGTAACAAATATTTCACCTCTTTTTATAAGGAGCCCCGTGTGAAAGCAGGATCATTGATCATTAATTCCAAAAATAAAATCCGAAAAAATTATATAAGATTAGTATATCCTGATTTAATCGTTTTTAGACTTTCGTAGTTACACAACAAGGAACCCTTATAGTTTCGCCATGTCCGTCCGCCCGTCCGCGATTTTGTTCAGACCCTAGGTGCTACAAATCTGTAATTTGGCACAGTTATAAATATTAACCACGCCTAGAAAACTGAAATAAAATCTTAAAAAAACATTTTTATTTTGGGTACTTCCCACACAAGTAAATGGAGGATGATATTTTTTACGTGTATTCTATCATGTGGGGTATCGTTGGATAGGTCTTTCAAAAACATTGGGGATGTTGAACAACATCTTTTCGATTCTGGGGTCCGTTTGTGAAATATTTAGCTTTAAAGTGCTAATTTTCATTAGAGTCATGTGTCCCCCTCCCCCCCCCCCCCCCTCTAGTAACTTAACAGATCGACATGTGAAAAGTGTACCCAATAGTAGTTTATATAATGCAGTTAAAAGGAAAACTATCACAGCTACATAGAATCAAGAAGTTAACGAGTAATAGTTGACCAACTTATAAAATACACTTGGATTAGTAAAAATTTCGTTACATTTTCATAGAAAAGACCTAAGACTAGATGCATTAATAACTTTGTAATATTATTGTCAGCTGTTGAAAATAAACATTTTATGAAGAAAACGGCTCATATGCATTACTACTATTAGTTTTGGCGAAGCGCTTAAAAATAGTTTATCATTTTCATTCCATAAAAAATAAACAATTGTGCGTTTTGAAAATATTGCTATTAAATTGTATAAGGCGCTTCGAATAAAGAGATAATCTATGTTAAAAGTAAATAGATTCAATATAATGTCGAACGTAAGTTCGGGGTTCGATTCCCCAGTCAAGCATTAATTTTGTTGCGCGCCACTATTAATGTCTTGTACATGGCAACACTAGTTACACTAGCGCCCCTAGTGTCGAGTAAATGAAAGTATTGCGCGCCACTATTAATGTCTTGTACATGGCAACACTAGTTACACTAGCGTCTTCTAGTATCAAGTAGCAGAACTAGGAGATTCGAGATCCTTCCAGAAATTTCGAGACCGATATGTACTCGAACATTCTAGATGTCGCTACAGTAGAAGGTTCTGGAAACTATCTGAGGCCCTATATAAGGCCGGTATAGACCACGACCGGGGCAGTATTGAATTGGCGATACAAGAGAATACTTCGAAGCGAAATAACGGTGAACTGTGTTTTATTATTAGTGTGATTTTAAATTGTAATTAGTGTTGTGTAATTAAAGTGTCAATTTTGGTAATTCAATCGGCAGTTTTTTAATTGTCTCGAACCCCAAGCTCGTAACAATTGGTGTCAGAAGTGGGATCAAATATGCCGATTTTACCTAAAGACGACACGGAGAGTATCCGTACCCGAAGTCAACGCCAACAGGAGACGGACCAGAGACGATTTGGTAATGCAACGCCGCAAACGTCGGAGGGGCAGCTGCTAACCACGGAGGCCGGCCCGTCAGCAGCTCCTGCATCTGCAGCACCTGACTTAGGTGCTCTGATGATGATGCTGCAGGATCAGGCTCGCCGACAGGAGGAACAGGCTCGCCGACAGGAGGAACAGGCTCGCCGACAGGAGGAACAGGCCCGCCGACAGGAGGAACAAACCCGTCGGTTGGAAGAGCAGCTGCAGCGCGGTATGAAAGAACAGATGCTCCTCAGGAAGGACCTACACGCTACCTTCGGGAAAGAGATAAAAGAGGTGAAGGATAGGGTTGCTCAACATGACAACCGCCTGTCGGAAGCTGAAAACCGAATCGACCAAGTGAACAATCGTGTTGACAACGTGATGGCTGATGTGAAGAAAACGCTGGACGACCTCAAACTTGGGGATGGAATTACAGATGCCGTGGTAGCTACAACACCTTCGCTACGTGGATTCAAAGTGCCTCCGTTCGACGGGAGTTCTTCCTGGTCGGCCTACAAAATCCAGTTCGAGGCTGTCATGAAAGCGAACGGCTGGAATAAAAGTCAGGCCATGACTGCTCTCACCCTAGGCCTACGCGACCAGGCCTTAACCGTTCTGGAAGCTCTCGGTAAGGAAGTGACTTACGAGCAGCTCCTTGAGGCATTGGAGGCGAGATATGGCGATGCTCACCTGGAACACGTCTTTCGTGCGCAGCTTAAAGATCGCGTGCAACGCAGTAACGAAAACCTGCAGCAGTGGGCCCTTGAGGTGGAGAAGCTGGTTCGAAAAGCGTACCAGTCTGTACCTGCGCTCATTGTAGGGAACCTGGTGCAGACATTCATCGACGGCATCCGTGACCTTGAAGTCAGAGCTGCTGTGAGGCTCGGTCACCACGAGACGCTTAAGGACGCCTTGACCCATGCACTGGAGGTGGAAGCCGTGAGACAGGATCATCGTTCCTACCGCGTCAGGGAGGTTGCAGCAGTTACAGTTCGGGACCGCAATAACGGCTACCGCCCTAGGTGCTGCGGCTGTGGGCAAAGGGGGCATCTTCGATCCAGCTGCCCTAAGCGAACTGTAGAAAGGGAAGGTGATTGATTTCGAGAAGGTAGTGCGGCTAACAGCATCGCCCAGCGCAGCGGGAAATCTCATGGCAACGCAGATGTATTGTCAAGAAGACTTTGTCCTGAAGACTGCAAGCGTTGTACTAGGCAAGAGGGTAAGGAAGTGGTATCTGTGAGGATACTCAGGACAGACCAGCTCAGCAATGAGTGGAAGGACAGCCTACAACATGCACAGCAGGAAGATTCGGACATTAAGCCGATTCTGGAATGGATGAAGGCCAGTTCTCCTAAGCCCAAGTGGAGCGACGTCTCAGCTATGAGTTCGACCACGAAAAGCTATTGGGCCCAATGGGACAGCTTGCTGATTCAGGATGGAGTCTTGTGCCGTAAATGGGAAAATGGTCGGGGAGACAGGTGTCACTTGCAAATGGTTGTCCCTAAGGCTAAAGTGCCGGATGTTCTACAGCTGTACCATAGTGGTTGTTCAGGAGGCCACCTGGGAGTTAAACGAACTCTCCTGAAGATCCGAGAACGGTTTTACTGGGTCCACTGTCGTGACGATGTCCAGGACTGGTGCCGCAAATGTACAAGTTTGCGGCTGTAAAGGGACCTCACATTCGTAGTAGAAGCGCATTGAAATTGTACAATGTTGGTGCACCATGGGAGAGGATAGCCATTGACGTTGCGGGGCCGTTTCCAGAAACTGAAAGTGGTAACAAGTATTTCATGGTTGTGATGGATTACTTCACTAAGTGGCCAGAAGTCTTCGCCATTCCAAATCAAGAAGCTTCAACAGTTGCAGATAAACTAGTTCATGAAGTCTTCTGTCGTTTTGGAGTAACTTTAGAGATTCACAGCGATCAAGGAAGGAATTTTGAGTCTCAAATATTCCAGGAAACTTGCCGAGTTATTGGTACTCAGAAAACACGAACAACTTCTTACCACCCACAATCTGATGGAATGGTAGAAAGATTTAATCAGACATTGGAGAGATACCTAGCAAAAGTTGTGGAAAAACGGCAACGAGACTGGGACAGGCACATACAACCGTTTTTGTTGTCATATCGAAGCGCTGTTCACAAAAGTACATCAGTGACACCAGCTTTCGCAAACTTTGGGAGAGAATTGCGGCTGCCTGCAGACCTGATCACCGGAATACCACCTGATGCCCCACGCAGTATAACCGATTATGCAAATGACTTGCGGAACAAAATGAATGACATTTATGAGCACGTCAGACAGACGGGCCAGCAAACGTCTGAGAAGATGAAAACACGGTATGACCGCAAAATGAACAACAAGGGGTTTGATGAAGGTTCACTAGTGTGGTTACACAATCCAGTCCGCAGCAAAGGGAAATCTCCTAAACTTCAAGCTAAATGGGACGGACCGTACCGGATTGTGACAAGGATCAATGATGTAACCTACCGGATACAGAAAGGTGCCAGAGGTACTCCTAAGATTGTCCATGTGGATCGATAGGAGGGGGCAGTGTTGCGCGCCACTATTAATGTCTTGTACATGGCAACACTTGTTACACTAGCGCCCCCTAGTGTCGAGTAAATGAAAGTATTGCGCGCCACTATTAATGTCTTGTACATGGCAACACTAGTTACACTAGCGTCCTCTAGTATCGAGTAGCAGAACTAGGAGAGCCGAGATCCTTCCAGAAATTTCGGGACCGATATGTACTCGAACATTCTAGATGTCGCTATAGTAGAAGGTTCTGGAAACTATCTGAGGCCCTATATAAGGCCGGTATAGACCACGACCGGGGCAGTATTGAATTGGCGATACAAGAGAATACTTCGAAGCGAAATAACGGTGAACTGTGTTTTATTATTAGTGTGATTTTAGATTGTAATTAGTGTTGTGTAATTAAAGTGTCAATTTTGGTAATTCAATCGGCAGTTTTTAATTGTCTCGAACCCCAAGCTCGTAACAATTTCATAAAAGTTTGTTTTTAGATTAATTTAGAGTCACGTGTTACATAATAACCAGTTATGCAATACGAATAAAAGCGTTCAAACCAAACTTATTTGAACCTGAAGACAATTTATAGCAGTGATAATTGAGAATTCATTTGAGATTCTATGGTGTGTAAAATCTTCAATACAATATCCTTGAGAGCAATTCATATTCGCTTATTTTTAAATAAAAATAGGTCAACCCGAAAGTAATCGCTGCCCCAAGCTCGTCATCCGTCATGTTTGCCTATCCGGAATATACTAGCACGTTCGCCGAGCGTGTGGATGCCGTGTCTGTGTTGGGTGAATGTGGTCGGTGTTTGTTCGTGTATGGTGTATGTGGCAAACACCAAGCGTGTGGAGGTGGCATCAAACCTCAACAAAAAATGTTTGTCATTATATACGTCTAGGGCAGGGATTGGCAACCTGCGGCTCGCGAGCCACATGCGGATCTTTGGATGTGAAGCTGTGGCTCTTTAGTTTTATACGCAAATATTATTTATTTTATTTAAAAAAAAAATTTAAAAATCGATCCACACTGAGCCATTTGAATTTGATACTGGATCTCTAAAAATGCAATTGATCGATTTAAAAAGTAAAGCTTTGTGGAGTTGAAAATTTACAGAGTTGAAAAGCAAGTTGAAAGAGTTTCAGAAATGTATGTATGTAACGCAATAAAAATGGACAGCTTTAAAAGAAATACCGCGAGTTGAGGCACTTATATTCGACACATGGAATAGTCTTTCAGATAGCTACAGTGAGGTGAAGAAGTTGGCATCTGGAGTGCTGTCTTTGGATCGACATATTCGTGTGAGCAAGCGTTCTTTTGCATGAATATAAATAAAAGTAAAGTAAGAAGCTAACTAACAAATGAAAATTTAGAGTTGTGTTTGAAACTTAAAACAACAATTTATGAGCCAAATTTATCCAAACTTTCTACAACCATGTAAAGCTAACGCTTCCATTGAATTTGTTTGCTCAAATGTATGTTATTGTTTTTATTTTTAAGTACAAGTTACATTGTTTAGTAAAGATTAAATTTTCTACTTGAATAACCATGCAAACCCAAAGCTCCCATTGAATTTGTTTGCTCAATTATTTGTTTTTGAAGTACAAGTTAGTGTTGTAAGACTTACAATGATATATTTTTTTTAAATTTATTAAGCATAATTATGTTACATTATCCAGTACAATACAAGCATAAAAAACCTCTAGGGGTTTATCTACACTAGAGAGTCATCTTATAAAAACAAAGATGTATTAATATTAAATCACAATAATCCAGTATGAAGTACTTACTACAATAAGTATGGTTGATTTATCAAATATGATTTAAGTTTGGTTTTAAACAGTTTTGATTTACCGTATGTGTTTTGTAATTCTAGTGGCAAGGCATTAATAAAAGTAGGTACAAGATGGGCCAACTTTCTTGCTCCATAGAAATTTTTAGTTTTCGGAAGTACATACATGTTGGATTTATAAGCTATATTTCGTAGATTTACAGGTCGTTTTCTAAGAACTAGGTATTTTGAATTATTTACTTCAATCAGTATATTAAATTTAACTTTATCGAAAACATTTATGACTTTGCAATAATTAAAAAGACCCCGGTCATTATCTATATACTTATTTTTAATGTGCTTAGGTACTATCAATCTAAGCATTTTGCGTTGTAGTGTGTAAATTTCATGTATGTACGTTACATAAGTTCTTCCATAACTGCTAAGTCCATAATTTATATCAGAATCTGCTAGAGCCATGTAAAGTAATCTAAGTATTTTATATGGTAGCTTAAATTTTAAAACATAAAGTTTACTTAACACAGAGCGAAGTTTTGTACACACGTGATCTTTATGCGCTCTCCAGCAAAATATATATGTATTATCTAATAATTAGATAATAAAATACTTTCATAAGAAAAATATATATTTATTCATATTTATGTAGATATGAATAAATATATATATTTCTTATGAATAAAAAGATTATTATTTTTTTATCAAAAATCTTTATTTATGCAAGTACTATTTAAAGTTGGCAAGAAAAAATTTTATGGTTCTTTAAAAACTTTGAAATTTTTAAATTGTAATTTTTGACTCTTCCGACTCAAAAGGTTGCCGACCCCTGGTCTAGGGAGTGTTTGTGGTAACATAACAGCTAACAGATTAATTCCCTTGTTTTAGCGTTATATTGGTACTAAACTTTGCAATGGATTTAGATAAATGAACAATCACTGGAAACGATGTAACAAGTGATGTATTGGTTACACAGATCATAAGTATTTTTAACAGCTAAAGCGCCTGGAGATACTATCTTCATCAACTGTCCGCTGAAAGGATATCATCAAAATCTTCCAAATATTTCGCACTGACTCCTCAGCATTTTGTGTTGTTAACAAAATATGCATCAAACAAGGCTGTATGGACATAGATCATTCTGCCTTTAAATAAAATAAAAAAAAAACGTCAAAACAAATTATTTTTAGCAACTCGTACATAACCCTATAAGTTAAATATTTTTAATTATTTTAAGATTTTTGTGAATTGTATTCCATCAATAATTATTTATAATGTCAGTGTATTTAACCAGAATTGTTTTCAATACGTTTCGAGGCGTTTCAACAAAGAGTTTTTCATCCGTCTACTTATTAGAATTTGCGCCGGTGAAAAATTTGTTTCCAGCCAATAAAAATGATATACTTCACTTTGCGCGACCGTCGGCAACTAGACATTATACTAGTAATTCATTACAACCATCTTTAGCCCGAGATAATGCGAGTCTACCCATAAAAAAGAAGACAGTACATAAAAAGGCGGTGTTAGAAGACTTAACAAGAAAAGAGGGACATTACTTAACATTTGCATATGCTACAGCAAATTCATATGATTTGAAAGCTTTGAAAGAAGCTTTAGTTCAACAGAAGCTCTACGAACCGGGAAAGTAAGATTAGTAATAAACAATGAAATATTTAGTTATTTCCTCATTATGACGTAATAATTTCTTGTTGTGTTACCTGTTGCATTTAGAAAAGTCTCCATTTCCATTCTCTAGTCTTTTCAGTCCAATTTTCTATGGGTGTAAACTTTTAATTACTGGTATATATTTTTAGTTTTTTTTTTAGAAGTATGGTTGACAGACAATGTCTGAGCCCACCTAATGGTAAGTGAATGCCATGGCCTCCATCTATAGCTATTCTCATTTAAGAAAATAATAAAAATACAGACACCTTATAAAGATGGAATACTTACTTCTTTACTGGTAATAAAGGAATCAAGGAACCATCACGGTACGACTTTCCATTGACTCCCGTCGAGTTGTGGGTTGATACGTATTTTTACAGAAAAGTTACACTATTATAAGCACACACACAAAGTTACAACATGCAGAGGCGCGTAATTTTTGAGAAAAAGTTATTGAAAATCAATTATTCTTGCATTGTTTATGTCTAATCCTACAATAATATACGAAAGGTGCTTGCGAGTAAACTCTTTGCCATAAGTGCCAATCGATCCAATACCGGTATACGTTCACCGATTCGACGTATGGTTGTCACATATAATGAGACCTTCGAGCATATAGATATTTTCACATGCTCAACGGAAAGGTTTCGTGTTTTTTTATACAAGACACTTTTCAAATAATAATTTGTCACCTCAGTCACATTATAATATCATTGGTGACCATACTTTGACACTTATATAATACGTTCTGTACAGCTGCAGGTCTCCTAGTCTTAATCATCTATCTCAAGAGGTAATCTGTGAACAGAACTGTGGGCTGCATTATTGTGTATATTAATGTTACTGTACTATCTGTATGTAATATATATAATGTAGCTGTTAGTTGTTCCACTTTGAATATATAAATAAATAAATAAAACTGACGCCATTTTTTATTGTTATTGTCAGTAGGGATATTGATTCTTTCCGAAAAAGATCGGTTTTTTAATAGATTCGAATTGTAAGCTGATGTATCGATTCCTAAAAAATCGATTTCTAAAATATCTATATTTTTTTCATATTTGCATTTATAATGTAAATATAAATACATTTTATATACATCAGCTTACAATTTGAATTGATTTAAAAATCGACCTTTTTTCGGAAAGTATCGACATCCCTACTGACGACAATGACATTACAAAATGGCGTCAGTTTTATGGTAGGATTAGATATCAACAATGCAAGAATAATTGATTTTCAATAACTTTTTCTCAAAAATTATGCGTTTTCGCATGTTGTAACTTTGTGTGTGTGCTTAGTGTCACTTTTCTGTAAAAATACGTATCAACCCCCAACTCGACGGGAGTCAATGGAAAGCTAAGCCACCATCACTTACCACACTAAATAATAGCATTATGCGGGTTGGCTGTATTAGTCCAGTACTTGACTTTAATTATGGGTTAAGCTTGAACCTTTTACACTGTTTTCGGATGTCGGAAATTTGTTTTGAATTAATTACGATAAAAATAATTTTCACTAAAAGTTGCATATAACTAAACGCAAATATGTCAATTTGGTCTAGTATTATGAAGTAGACGTCCGGTTCTTGATTTTAATTATGTTTTCAGTTTAGGAGGTTTGTCAGGATTAAGCTTGAACCTTTTATACACTGTTTTTGGATTTTGGAAATGTGCTTTGATTTAATTATGATAAAAATAAATTTCACTACATAACAAAAAATTGCATATAATGAAACGGGTCACTCATAAAAAAGTTAATTACTTAGACTCACACAATCTATTTGTGGCTGAAGATGGGACTCATACACAACAAATTGAGTCACAGTGGAGAGCAGTCAAGAGGTTTTTCCCCTGAACCCTGCCCCTCCCCCACCCGTTTCCTATCCCCGTACATGAGTGCTGAATGTCTATAGTTTTACCCATTATGCTGCTACACTATAAATTCTATAGACACATATAGGGTATTTTGTATGAGTGTTTTATTTATGCATGTGCATCTTTATAAAATATAAATTCTTAAAGTAACAAATTGCCTTACATCTTCACAATATATTATATTTTAGATAAATTTGGTATTAATCTAAAACTAATTTTGTATTACATAGCTTAAAATTATCAGATATATTCAATTGTTAATTTTTCGCAAATTGGACTGGAATATACTTTGTATTATGTATTTCAATGTTTTTACATTCTCATTTTCAGATTAAAGGCTCATGAAGTGGGAGATGTTGTGATTGCAAACCCAGTGTACACCATTGGAACAGAGCCAAGAGAAATAATTTTCTTTAAAGAAGGTGCTGTTGTGTTTTGGAATTGCACTGAGTTGGAAGCCAGCAATGTTCTTGACTTTGTTAAGAGGTTGGTGATATCTAAGTAATGTGTGACAAGTTAATGCTTTTGTACAAAACACTTATCATATCTAAGATTTTTATTTTTGTGCATGAACATTAGATGCCTTTGTTAGATTATTGTTTCCTGTAGAGGTAAAACTGACCGTTCACCTAAAGCTAAATTATCATTGAGCTTGGTTCTTAGACATCTTATTAGATTTAGGGTCAACCACATGAAAGAAGTCCCTTGACAGTGGCCCAACCGGCTTTACACTTAGAATCTAGTAGATTAAGTTATTTTAATTTTAACTAGGAAAACAAAATTCCAAAAATACATCTTTTATTTCTCTCCGAAAGTTCTGTTAAGTTTCTGCCTTATCTTATATGCAACTAGCTGTGCCCTGCGGTTTCACCCGCGTATATCACTACGCCTTGCGACATGCGAACTTCGAGAGAGACATCACGACGGACGGTTGCTGAATTAACAAAGATTTAAAAAGTGAAATATGTTACTAAAATTACATGATTAACGTAATTGGTGGTTATCCATGGTATAGGTTATATGAATAATGTGGCCTAGTTTGTACCGGCGTTACTATTTCATATTTTAACATGAAAAAGTATTTATTGTGACATAACTGTAATAGTTAAACATATGGTATCTCAGACTTTTTTGTAGATATTAATATCCTCTATAAAACTGTAGTACATTACTTTGCTCTATTATCAATAGCTTCCGCAGCGTACGCAATATAAGGTATATTTATCGTATTTTTTTCACACCTTGGGTTACATTAACTAAGTTTTCATACGGATCCCTAACTTTTTTGAAAATATTATATAGCCTATGTTCATCACGGATAATGTAGGATTCTAATGGTGAAAGAATTTTTCAAATCGGTCCAGTAGTTTTGGAGCCTATTCAATTCAAACAAACAAACAAACAAATCTTTCCTCTTTATAATATTAGTGTAGATATGTAATAAAATCTTGTTATCCTGTTGTATCCTCAATCATTACATCATCATTACAGCCCTTCACAAGTCCACTGCTGAACATAGGCCTCCCCCAAAGAATGCCACAAAACACGGTCCTGAGCCACCTGCATCCATCGACTTCCTGCATGTCTTACCAAGTCGTCACTCCATCTCGTAGGGGGACGCCCTACACTTCGCCTACCGGTACGAGGCTGCCACTCGAGAACCTTTCTTCCCCATCGGTTGTCGGTTCTTCGAGCTATATGGCCGGCCCACTGCCACTTCAGCTTACTAATCCGTTGGGCTATGTCGGTCACTCTGGTTCTACTGCGGATATCCTCATTCCTAAGTTTATCACGCAGAGAAACTCCGAGCATAGCCCTCTCCATAGCTCGCTGAGCGACCTTGAGCTTCCTCATACGGCCAGCAGTGAAGGACCACGTCTCAGTTCCGTAAGTCATCACTGGCAACACGCACTGGTTGTACAATTTCGTTTTAAGGTTTTGAGGTATGTCTGACGAGAAGATGTATCGTAGCTTCCCGAACGCTGCCCAGCCGAGTTGAATCCGTCGATTGACCTCTCGGTCGAAGTTGGACTTACCCAGTCGGACTATTTGTCCCAGGTAAACATACTCGTCAACAACTTCGAGCTTAGTGCTCCCAACAACTACCGGCATAGGTGTGACATGGACATTAAACATGATCTTTGTTTTGTCCATGTTCATCTTAAGACCTATCCGTTGGGAAACACTATTGAGGTCATTGAGCATAGTGCTTAGGTCCTCCAGCGATTCTGCCATAAGGACTATATCGTCGGCAAATCGAAGGTGAGTGATGTACTCGCCATTGATGTTGATACCGTATCCTTTCCAGTCCAGAAGCTTGAAAACGTCTTCCAATGCAGCGGTGAAGAGTTTCGGGGATATGACGTCACCCTGTCTTACACCTCTCTGCAATTGGATAGGTTTCGTACTCTGGTTCTGTACTCGGATAGCCATCGTAGCCCTACTGTACAAGCACTTCAACACTTCGATATACCGACAGTCAACTTGGCACCGCTGAAGGGACTGCAGCACCGCCCAAATTTCGACGGAATCAAAGGCTTTCTCATAGTCCACATACGCCAGACATAGTGGCAAATTGTACTCTTCGGACTTCTGTACAACTTGCCGAAGGGTATGTATGTGGTCTATGGTGCTAAAGCCCTTTCGGAAACCGGCTTGTTCGGGAGGCTGGAAGTCGTCAAGTCTGCGCGCGAGACGATTCGTAATGACTCTCGAAAACAGCACGTAGACGCAGCTCAGAAGGGAAATCGGTCTGTAGTTCTTCAAGAGAGCGTTGTCACCTTTCTTGAAGAACAAGACCACCGCACTTCTGCTCCACGCCTCCGGTGTAATGCCACCATGGAGGACGGAATTAAAGAGCTTCTGAAGGACTTCAAGTACCGGTCTTCCACCCGCTTTCAGAAGCTCCGCTGTAATTCCATCCTCGCCTGGGGCCTTACCGTTTTTAAGGTGCTGGAGAGCCATCCTAATCTCGCTCAGACTGACATCCGGGATATCTTCGGAATAGTGTCGGATGAGACTCGCTCTTGGATCGTTACTCACACTTGCGTGTGGCTCCAACGATGATGTGTACAGCTGCCCATAGAACCTCTCAATCTCACTCAAAGTCTCAGGTGTCCCGGAAACGATGCTGCCACATTCTGTCTTCAGCTTTGACAGTTGGCTCTTTCTGGCAGACAGATCTCTGGCAAAGACTTTGGAGCCTTGGTTCCGCTCGATCGCTTCTTCAATACGAGCTGTATTGAAGTTGCGTAAGTCCCGCCGCATGCATTTGGAGATCTGTCTGTTCAGATGCCTGTATGCTGTCAAGTCTGTTGAAGAATGTAGCTTCATCTCCCGTCTAACAGCCATGAGATTAAGAGTGTGATCGGAGAGTTTTTGTGTTCTTCTGCGGCGGGTCTTGCAGAACTTAGCTCCGACCGCATGGACAGTTTCCACGAGCTTGTCATTCATATCGTCCACTTCATTGCAGTCTTCCAGGCACTGAAAACGGTTTTGTAACTCGAGCTGAAAGGTTTCGGGACTTTGGAACAGAGCACGAGGGGGACGGAGCGTTGACTTCATTAGACGAAACCTCTCCAACTTAACGTTTAGGTTCAGTGTGCCTCTAACCATTCGGTGATCGCTACCAGTTTTCACCCTCGCGATCACGGAGACATCACTGAATAGTTGTCGTCTGGTCGTCATAATGAAGTCAATCTCATTTTTTGTGGAACCGTCGGGGCTCGACCAGGTCCACTTCCTGTGGGGCCGCTTCTGGAAGAAAGAGTTCATCATAAAGAGTCCCTCTTTCTCCATGAAGTCGGCCAGCTGCTGGCCCCTTGGGTTCCGTTGCCCTATTCCAAATTTCCCTACTTTCAGCTCACCGTTCTCTCTTGTGCCTAGTTTTGCATTGAAGTCTCCCATTAACACCGTATATTGGGTTTTGGAGGAATGCATGGCTCTAGAGATATCCTCATACATTTCCTCCACCTCCTCATCGGGGTGTGCCGAGGTTGGTGCGTAAACCTGTATGACCTTCAGCGAATATCGTTTGGTGATTCTGAGTATAAGGTACGCAACCCTCGTCGACACACTCCCGATCTTTACAACGTTGTTAACGAGAGACTTGTGGACGATAAATCCGACACCTCCTTGGGACAGATGGTCGCCCTCCCGGTGATAGAGCAAGTTGCCGGATTCGAGGATTACCGTGTCCTCCCCCTCTCTTCGGACTTCGGATAATCCTATAATATGCCAGCGCAACTTGTCTATCTCTTCTTCCAGCTCCACGATCTTCTCGTCAGTCCTCAGGGTGCGTGCGTTGTACGTTGCCAGGTATCCTCAATAAAGAGTTAGAATACAGATGTGTTGGCACTTGTGAGGACTAAGATGGAATGCTTCTTTTCTAGTAAAAAGGGTCTCCGGTTCTCTACACTCACCATACAAAACACAGTACCTAATGTTAAGCTACTATTTTACGATGTGAGAGTGTGGTCCTTCCCCAGTCGAGCCGACCCATTCGTGATACAACTATACTACTTATATAGCTGCAGCATGGCTCTACCACATATAAAATAATGGTACTGCTAGATTTTAAAAAGTTACTAAACATAAGCAAATTGTGTAATTGATAATAATGTTTTAATTTTTTTTTTTTGGTAATGTCTTTGCAGTACCTATGTGTTTCTATCAGATTGGACAGGGTTTTTGTGTGTAATACCTGTTGTTTTTTATTAGCTATGTTTTCTTGTTTTCCATCAATCTGTGAAAGTCTACTTCTGGATATGGATCTCTACCATTGTAGGTGGGGTTTTCTATATATGCATATCTGTTATAAAAGATTTGTGACTGCAGTACCAGAAGGTTGGCATCATTGTCTTCACACTGCTATCAATCAATATTCTAGGTATTTTACATCTGGTGTACATCAGATGGGTAAACCTCCATCTATTGTAAAAGTTAACATTCACCTTTTATCAGAAGAATTATACAGTAGATTCTCGATAATTTGAAACTCAAGGGATCAGAGAAAAAACTTCAAATTGCCAAGAGTTCAAAATAGCGGGAGTTTAGATAACCAAGAGGGAGGGAGGAAAAAATCAAGTAAACAAGAGTTTGGTCACAATTTGTGATTTATTGTTTTAAACATTTGCACAATCATTCACAAATGTTCATTTTGAAAAGAAGTCTCTTTCATTTATATATATAGGTATACTATAGAGCAGACATTGGGAACATTTATATACAAAAACTTTGAGCTATTGCGCGTGAGGAACCCTCTAGCTAAAAATAGCAAAACAGCGCTAAGCATTCATTAAGACAACATTTTAGCTATTCCCCAGTAGGTGACGCTAATAAATATAACTTCGTTTTAGGAATGTTACAGTTTCGATATCAAAAAATCGATAATGTTTTTAAAGATTACTAAGTTTGAAATGCTTTTTATAGATGATTGTTTTATTGTATAAATCTATTTATCATGACTTCCTTCACATGAAAAAAATCATACTAACTTTTTACGCCCCTTTAGTGTTGTGAAATAAAATATTTAATTTCCAATAACTAACAATCAATTCAAGCAGCAGTCACTTTGATTGCCACCTTGGTGGCATCTTGGATGACGTCACTCGGTCCATTAGCTGCTATAATAATAGTCGGTGTTAAAGACACATCGAGAAACACAAAAGCGCCTCTATGTTTTTAAATTCGTTTCTATTACAAAAATACACTTCAAATCTAAAATATTTTAGGCAAACACTGAACTTAAAAGCCGTTTCACGATTTTTCACGTTTCATCAGCTGCAGTACTTAAAGACACTACCCACATCAATAAAAATTGTTATTTTATGTTTTTACCTTATTTTCTAACTCAGGCTTAACCTACAACTTCTTGCATCTAATATCTTTAATAGTACAAATTGTTTTTAATGTAAGAAATCTATTGCCCTCTTCTATCACTGTAAGCTAGGATCTATAATGGCTTTGTCCTTGAAAACCACCAGACAATGAAGCCCGGTGTAAAACCACCAAACAATGAAGCCTGGTATGTAAAAGAGAAGACTTGCTGTATTGCTAAACATCAACACAGCAAGTATCCTCAGCATGCTCATAAGCAACACAGAAAATCTCATCAGTATGCCTAAAAAAAATTCCCACCCTTGCTCTACATAAAGTAGGGTACTTAGCATAGTTGGTATATGCTACTCATTTTTGTTGGTATGGGTACAGTATCGTTGACTGTTTTACCTCCTTAAATATTGTAAAGGATTAAATCGGCATCCTGTATATTTTTTTATCGATAAACGTCGTCAATCACTAACTTTAAAATTGGTAACTAAATAGTGATGTTTACTGGATAACAGAGGGTGCTTATTACAATAAAAATAAATGTTCTAGAACAATCTACTAGAAATAATAAAATTTAAAGATTATTCGGTAAATATATGTTATATTTACGATAATAAACCGAAATCACATTCATTTTTGCTCCATATCGTGACTCACAATATCTTAATGCACAACCGGGCATATTTTTTTTAAAAATATTTTTTAAATATATGAAACAAATGCGTCTTGACTTTTTGGCGATGTCACTAAGACTAAATGACAAAAATCGGAGATATATCTTATAGGACATAAGTTACAGACGACAATTTGGCTACTGATGTCCGGTCTATTACTACTACTACTTAAATGTCTTGATGTAAACAAATGACAGGTCTGTGCATGATAAACCCTTCAAATTATCGAGAGTAGGAAAGCCCAGATTTCAAATTAAAGGTGGCTACTGACCTGCCTGCCGCAGGGGCAATCTAGGAAGCACCGCGATCGGCGCAATATCGGAGCTGTCTCTACACACACGCCTGCCGTTCAGTATGAGAGTGTACGTTATATAATGTACTCTGTGGTGTACGTCTCGCTGGACGCACGCGTTATGGCGCCAGTTTTATCTAAATATCAATGAATCAGTATATATAGCCTTGGCTCTTTTTTATATAGAATAAGGGTGACAAATGAGCACAGTCCACCTGATGGTAAGTCGACACTGTGGCCTATAGACACCCACATTTATCAATAAAACAACCAATTAATTAATAATTACAATCATAATATAGTGCTTAGAAGCTGCAGCATAGCTCTGCCACGCTATTTTTAGGCTATTAAAGACAATTAAATATGACTAACTTTACTCGTCATAATTTAATATAACCAATTTGTTCTGTGATATAACTTAACTATCTAGTGCTTAGTAACTATAATTTAACTAGTGTTACAAATAGCCAGGATAGTTTTATTTATACATTTTATTTATATTCCAGCAATTTTAGTATTATTGGAATATTTACTTTCTCATACTAGCCCGTATGATAAGTTAGGTAACAAATCCCAGTAATGTTACTTGTAAGTTACAACGTTCAAATAACGTTCTTTCTGCGGTTCTGACTTGTACTCATACGTGTGCTCCTCGCGAAAGTCGCAACGAACTGAACGAAATGCCCAATTGCGCTACACACGCAACAGCGGCAGGGCCGATCTAGGGAGCAAGAAAGGTCTTGCGCTCCTGTAGTGTTGCAAAAGTGTAAAATAAAAAATCGGTAGATTTGCCAGCTAAAAATCTGGAGAAATCGGGAGATTTTTATTTACATCCGTGGGTTTAGAAATGTATCATAAAACGTTATTTTAGATGTCGTTCTTTTTCGTTTCATTTCTTTTTTGCGATCAAAATAATGTCTTTATAATTTAAACTAAAATTTTATGATTATATATTTTTGCTACTCACGCTTCTCCAAAATTATTCTGTTTCTTCACTGAGTGATTTAATTTCTTTCGTATTTAGAAGCAAACGCCATTCTAAATTAATTTTTTGATAACTAATGCTACCTAACAAATTTGGACATAAAGCACAACAGTTCTCAACAAAACAGAAGAAGGCTAGTAATTAGTGAATGTAATTCTATGAACGAACAACACTATATATACATGGCCTAAGCTACCTAATTCGTAAAACAACCCGAACAAAGTAATCTTTAGGGATCTCCCCCGTACACTTACCAGACAATAATGAACTCTATTTTAAGATGTATCAGTGCAATATGCTTTTTCATACCGCGAAGTTAAAAACCTAATAAGGTTGTAGGTATAGGTCCCATAGGACGTGGTGCGAGCAATTTCGGGAAGTCCCCGTACATAGATATTGTATTAAAAGTTCATTTTAGTATTTTGATTATTACTTTTCAATTTTATTTATGATTGTTATTTTACATTAGTTGAAAATGTAACAAAATCGGGAGATACGTTCGCTAAATCGAGATATCGGGAGATACTAATTAAAATCAGTAGATCTCCCGATAAATCGGGAACTTTTGCAACACTGCGCTCCTGCCGCACTGCCGCAGGGCCGACTTAAAAAATTGCCCCTGCTTGCCTACACACATCACAATTAAGGAGGCAATTAAGGGTCATCCCGATCTAGGGTGTACTAGATTGCCCCTGCGGCAGGCAGGTCAGTAGCCACCTTAATGTATGTTGCTGGGCAAGATACTGTTACGAGCTTGGGGTTCGAGACAATTAAAAACTGCCGATTGAATTACCAAAATTGACACTTTAATTACACAACACTAATTACAATCTAAAATCACACTAAATAATAAAACACAGTTCGCCGTTATTTCGCTTCGAAGTATTCTCTTGTATCGCCAATTCAATACTGCCCCGGTCGTGGTCTATACCGGCCTTATATAGGGCCTCAGATAGTTTCCAGAACCTTCTGCTGTAGCGACATCTAGAATGTTCGAGTACATATCGGTCCCGAAATTTCTGGAAGGATCTCGACTCTCCTAGTTCTGCTACTCGACACTAGGGGGCGCTAGTGTAACTAGTGTTGCCATGTACAAGACATTAATAGTGGCGCGCAACAATACTATTCCTTCAACTTCAAATTACCGAGGGTACTAATTTATATTGATTTTGTTCAATTTATCGAGAGATTCAAATTAACGAGTGTCAAATTATCGAGAGTATTTTTAGTTTATCAATTTTCTATTTCTTTTATTTATACACAAAAAATCGACAGATGAATGCGGCTCGGGATCATGTTTTATGGCATTATTTGGGGTAGGTTAGTGTTCAGCGGTGAATGAAGATGAGTTTAACTTATTTTTATCATATTAAGTCTACATAAAATTATATACATGTACTACACTTTTCTTTATTTATTTTACAGGTTTGAAGTTGAGAGTTATCCAAAGGATGTCATTGAAAGGGAAAGGGAAGTGATGACCTATGTTTATCAAGCAAATGCGTGAGTTATATAATTATTATATGTTATAATAAACTAGTCAATTTTATTTTAATCACATATTCTCCTACGTATAACCCAAGACTACAATTTAGCCACAAATAGCCTAATGGATCTTGCCCATTCCATGATTCTTCCAAATTCCAAATTTTAAATGAACAACAGGATATATACCTTTTTCCGTTGGTTTGCTAAATTAATAACCATAGTAAAAAGTTGCAAAACCTTTAGGATTAATAAAATTTTCTATTCATGTAAGATTTTAACAAATGAGTACTATTAAAGGCTTAAAATGCTGCTACCCATGTCTTGTTTCAGTTTCTCTCTGTCTCTTATGACACCTGCAGCATTATATGGGAGTAGTGGATTCTCTTTTGCTGCATCTACATGGCTTCTCTTCACTCATTATACCAAACACAGAAACATGCTTATATTTTACACTGGTGTTATGTGAGAGTGCGGTCTCCGTACGTTCGATCCATTTGTGCTGTAACCATAAAAGTTCAAAACTTTACTAACTCGGAACAGCATAAAGTATACTCACCTAAAAATACAGAATAAAGTACAACTACACAATTATATATAGTGCATTGCATGTTACCTGTAAAATTATTTCAAAATGATGGATAAAGTAAAATAGTTTTAAAAATAAAAAATGAAACGTTATAAAAGTGAAGTATTCTGGATTATATTGGACGAATATAATAATTTAAAATTTTGTATAGTCGACTTCAATATAAGTTATTAAGAATAATAATATCAAAAACTGTAGGTCTGATCTTGATCAAATTCATTCAGCTTTCAAATAAAAAAAGAATCATCGAAATCGGTTCACCCAGTAAAAAGTTATGAGGTAACACATAAAAAAAAACATACAGTTGAATTGAGTACCGTCTCCTTTTTGGAAATCGACAGAAAATAGTGTTTATTTTGAGTAGAATTTTGAAAGAAAACTCCACAATGTTACCAAATTAACTGTATAGTAGCGGCGTAAGATAGTCCACTATCCCATATCATCCCGTAGGTCTTATAAGAACCGACAAACGGAAAAATCAAACAGAAAATTGGCAGTAATTCCTTGGCCAGTGATGACTGATGACACTCTAAAAATACAACTACGCCTCTCACTACAGTTCTGAGTATTTTAGTACACCACGTGTGTCATGCATGACAAACTGTTCACTGTATTTTATTTTTTTATGAAAAAAATGTATGCCGCGGGTTGTCCGTCGCCTGCGCAGGCCTTTAAGACGTCCTGTGTAGGAATTTAAGACTGCTGACGAACTCTTATATGTCGCCGTGTGGTAGGCAACTTGATGGATATTATAATTCTAGTAACTACAGATATTTTTTGTGTACATATAAATATAAATTTGTTATAGTTATGGCATATTATATGTCATGTATTTTTTAAGACACCTTCAATTTTTTTTTAATGTTTTATTCAGTTGTTTTTTAGTAAGTTCATATGAACGCCAAAAACTGTTTCCAAATGCTAAGCTTACAAGAAACTGGGATCATTGTTCTCTTCATGTAATTTAAAAAAAATATTAAGCTTTTAATAAAATTTAACAGCTGCCTTCAAAAAACAAACAATAAGAAAATAACTTACACACACTGGTTTCTGAAGCCGGGGCTATAATTCTTGGCATTAATGGAAGTCGTCTTTCACTTTTTATTAAAAAGTTTGATATAAGGCACTTTTGTCTGGACTAAGTAATGTCGCAAAGAATATCAACAATTTAAAATGAAAAATGTTGTACAGCCGATTTCAATAAAAGTTATTAAGAATAACTCAAAAACTGTTGGTCCGACCTTGATCAAATTCACATGGGAGCACATTCTAAATATATACACTACTACTAAAAACTAAAAAAGATAGTAATTTTTCTACAAATGTATATTATATAACCACCTTTGTAGTATAAACTATTTAATAAAAAATAATTATTAAATTCTGTTCACAACAGATAAAGTTATTGTGTAACATACATATAAAAAAATACATACAGTCGGATTAAGAACCCCTCCATTTTTTGTGAAGTCAGCTATCTAAAAAGAATAGATCGATTTTACATTTATCGAAATTTTATAGAATTTTCATAAATAAAAACTTTATAATAATAATAATAATATGTACAATATATTCCTTGCAGAAAGAAGTGCCACTTACAAGAATCATGCTTTGTTTTGGTGCCAGAGAGAGATAACTCATTGGAAAAGTACAGTTTCAGGTGAATGTTTATTCTTTTTTATATATAGAATAAAGGTGATAAATGAGCTTACGGTCAACTTGATGGTAAGTGGATGCTGTTACCGATAGACATTTACATTTATCCTCTATTAGTTTAGTTTACGGGCTATTTTCCGCAACCCCATGTCTAAGCGCGTATTTTGCGTGTGTTTATCATGTTTATCTTCGATTAAAAATTTAAATGCAGATGCGTTTACTCCTGAGGACTAAGATGTAATGCCTTGTTTCCAGTAAAAAGGGTCTCCTATTCTCTACACTCATGATACGAAATACAGCAGCATTAAGCTGCTATTTTACGCTGGTATTCTATGAGAGCGTGGTCCTACCCCAGTCGGGCTGATCCATACAACCATAATGTATCTGCAGTGTGGCTTTAAAATCTGTGATGCAGGCTGATTTATCTTTTCATAATGGACCTGTAACTGTCCACTGCTGGAAATGGATTTCTTCCGTATGGAGTGCCTCACAACCTGTATCTATACCGGCTCTCTATACGTTTCAGAATTGAACACAGCAGTGAATTAACTGCTATATGACGGTAGAAGTAGGTAAGAGGGTAGTACAAAAAATATTCCAGAAACTTAACTACGCGATTTTATTTCTGATTTATTTATCTATCACCCTAACGTTTGCTAATTTTGTAATACACATTAATGTCATTTAAATTATGATCGCTAAAATAAATTTCATATAGAGTGTTACTTGTCAGTGTTAGTTGGATTATGTACATTACGTACATAATCCAACTAACACTGACAAATGAATAATAATTATTTTTAAATTAAGGATGGCAGAGCACACAGTTCACCTTATCGTAAGTGAATGCTGTTGCTCGGGACACCTAAATTTATCCTCTATTAAGAGTCGATGGGGTAGGACCACGCTCTCACAGCATACCAGCATAAAATAGCACTTTAAGGCTACTGTGTTTCGTATTGTGAGTATAGAGAACCGCAGACCCTTTTTACTGGAAATGAGGCATTCCATCTTAGTCCTCAGGGGAGACAACGCATATGCAATTTGATTCTTAATCGAGAATAATTGTAGATTGATAAAATGGGCCACAGCATCCACTCACCATCAGGTGGACTTGATGCTCTTTTGTCATTTTTTTTTTATAGGATAAGGGTGACAAACGAGCACACAGTCCACCCGATGGTAAGTGGTTGCTGTGGCCCATAGACATCTACATCTATCTTCGATTACGAATCAAAATGCAGGTGCGTTGTCACCCGTGAGGACTAAGATGGAATGCCTCGTTTCCGGTAAAAAGGGTCTCCGGTTCTCTACACTCACCATACGAAACACAGCAGCGTTAAGCTGCTATTTTACGCTGGTTTTCTGTGAGAGCGTGGTCCTTCCCCGGTCGAGCTGACCCATTCGTTCTACAACCATAATATAGCTGCAGCATGGCTCTACCACGTATATGCAGCATGTCACCTTTATTCTATATAAAAAAACTTCTTTCTCTTCGGTCTTCTCCTTTTTGTATTTAGCCTATGCCATTTATAAAATATGTATATGATATGACTATTACTTTAATGTAATGTATTGTTATTTTAGTCACGCTATGGCTCAGTCAGCCCGGCTAGGAGCTTGGGAGGCCCGTTTGGAAGCTCTAGCTGCGTCAGTGAGAGAGCACACGGCGCTTATGGAAAGGGAGGGTGCTGACTATGTCGAAAAGAAGGAAGTAAGTTATACTAGTTTAAAATAATACATGTTAACAATTCGACAGTATGTTTTTTACAGTCCACAGAGGGCGCCGTTAAGTAAACTAAAGCTCCGTACAGATATATTTAAAACGAAATAATAACAGTGTGTAAATATTACCTTTTGCGTGAACTTTGGGGGCCCAATTAGTGAATTAGCTACTCATGAAAGGCTACCCCATCAACTAGCGAAAAATTCCAGGGTGGCTCCATCGTGCCGGTTAGCGACCGGGTGAGAGGACAGGCGTCGACCGTCCCCGCAGTCTCCAGATCAAGTTCCCATGGGCACAGTAACTCTGGTAGTTTCGATTAGTTGCTAATGCAACGACTCGTTCAACTGCCATTCTCTATCCTTATTCACTCTACTCCCAATACGTATCGTAAAAAGAAAAGTATGGCTAAACAGCGGTTGGACGTCTATTCGCTCAAAGTGCACCTCACTAATATTCGAGGATTGCACTCTAATCTCAGCGCTGTACATCACCATCTTGGGACTGAGAAGCCGCACCTACTTTTCTTGATAGGATGTCCATTTAATGTGGCGTACCTTGACTATCCTGGATTTTCCCTGTGCCACAAATTCCAACTACGTTCCGGAGTCCGGAGTCTGTGTGTACGTCCGCAATGACATCTGCTTCCAGTGTCTCACTCACCTTGAAGACCCCACTTTTTCGACAATCTGTGTTTTTATAAAATCCTTTATGCTTGTGTCTATAGTTCGCACAGTGGTGACCGGGAGACAACACGATTATTTGATCACCTTAGTGAGGCTGCTGATGTGGCCCTAAATCGGTACCCTTCTGCACAACTTGTCTTTCTGGGACACTTTAACGCCTATCACCAAGACTGGCCGTTCCCGTACCAGAAGACCGACTATACTGGAAGACAAGCGTGGAATTTTGCCTTGACACTAGGTCTTTCTCAGCTAGTAAAGGTCCGAGTATAATGTAGGTGTCTTCAAAGCAAGAGTGAATAGGCTTTTGTTAAGTCAGTGCACCTCACCATCTTAGGCTATATCACTAATTACCATGAGGTGGGATTGTAGTTAAGCGCTGGCTTAGAAAATTAAGAACTTGCGTAGGGGTCGATTTTTAGACTTCGTTGCCCCCAAAATCAGTTTTCGTTTATGTCGACCCCTGGGAAACCGATTTCGACCCCGCTCGGGGTCGAAATCGGTTAAAAAAAAACGTTTAAAACGGTTAAAAATAAAACGTTTAAAAAAAATTCGGACTACCTTCCTTTTGCAACCATCTTCCAATCACCCTGTACTAATACAGAGTGATTGGAAGATATGATGGCCTCTAACAACCGCGCGGTAAAATAGGGTGGTCATTTCACCTGTTCACCACATGGTAAAATTGCATTTATGACTTTCTTATCAGGTAGTAAGAAAACTGGGTGAGCTGTTCTCTCTGCGTCATCGCCTCAATGTTGAGTCCGATTTGCTGGACACTCCAGATTTCTACTGGGAGGAAGAAGAACTTGAACGTTTGTACTCCAACACCGTAGCGTACTTTACTATACCGAGGCGAACGAGGGTAATTATAAAAAAAGTTTACACACATAGTAGTTAAAGACCAATGTACTATATTTTATACTATGTAACAGTTGGTCACGATATGTGGATATTTGATGCTCAGTTATGAATTACCTGCTATAGGAATCTGGATCAAATTTGGCATACAAACTGTGCTCTCGGTTAACACAAGGGAAACTCTTCAAGTTACAACATGGCGTTTTTGTTTCCTCGTGGTCGAGCCTCGGGCTCAAGTAGTAGTACTTTTTTCTTTTCCTTTGGTAATGGACTCGTACGGTTGTACTTTTGCCAGTGTCATATAATAGTAAATATCTTCTTCTTTTAATAATAATTTGTTCAATAAGTAACTATTGTGGGGAACAACATGTTGATTCATCACATAGCAAAGTTTTTGTCAGCTGTCACATCTATTGTACTAGGCATTCTAACTGAAAAATCGGTACCTACAATATTCGATTCTTAAAAGATATCGATTCTTTAAAATAATTTAGAATCATTTTGGTAATCATTTACAGTATTACTAGATTAATACCGGAATAAATTGGAAACATATAACTCAAATACAAAGTTTATCTGTTTTCATATTTTTTCATATTTATTGCTTAGTGCCAATTTCGGAAATAATAAAAAAATGCGTGAGTGTCGTGGAACACTCGGTTGGAACGAAGTTCCTTGCGTAGTATATTATTATTGATAAACGTAGGTATTATATTATTGATTAACAAATACAAATAAATGAATTACTAGCGTTTATTAAAATGAAACGTCATTTGAAATAAAATAAAATATTTCTTTCATGGCAAGATAAGAAAAAGTGCGAGGCAGATGGATATTATTCCATCTCACTTCCTTATTTCGCCGCCAAGGCCGTCTACACTATGACGCAAGGGGTCACACACTTTTTGTCGCTAGCTCCCATCCGCCAAACCCGTACCGTCCGATAAAAAACTTCGTTCTGAAATTATATACATTGAAAACTGCACTAGAGTAATAATTAAAAATTAAAAATTTTGTACAGCCGACTTCAATATAAGTTATTTAAGAATAACTCAAAAACTATTGGTCTGACCTTGATTAAATTCACATGGTATCACACGAGAACTATCAGCTTTTATATAAAAAAAGAATCATCGAAATCGGTTCACCCAGTACAAAGTTATGAGGTAACACACATAAAAAAAAAACATACAATCAAATTGAGTACCGTCTCCTTTTTGGAAGTGCAGAAAATGTATTTAATCACTTTCACTACATCTAGTTGAGCTGTTGTCGTCATCATCGTTGTATACAATATTTATTATTTTTATTTTCTATAATGCATTAAAATTAATGTCTCTTTCATCGTCGCCCAAAACATGTTTCATCAATGAATATAACGTTTTCCCAATAGGTTATTTTGCATCATAAAAAAAATCAATAAATACATATTTATGATAGGTTTTGTAAAAAGTAAACGATAAATGTTGATTTCTATCCATAAAAATGCATTATAAATTTTACAATTCAATTTTACACATATTTTTTTAATCTGTGACTCAAATCTCCAAAACGTATAATATCTAGTAATATGACGGATATTACATTTCGTCGTGACGTCACTTATAAAGTAAAGTTATTTCGAAATTTTTCAAGTTGTCATCACGATTGTTGACTTTTATTCCGTATTTTATTGAAATGGCGTCATGGAAGTCGGATTCGTAAAAGCAGAAAGCACTAATCAACCAAGGGCACCAAATACATTGATGCTGGCATTTTGTTTGCATGCGATCCCGTTTTTTTTTCTACCGAATTGAGGAATGTTAATACGTCAATGTAAATACCTATTACGTATTTTTGTTTAATACAATAACAGTATACATGGCCAGTGTCTTTTGAGAATACATAGTTGTGTTTTATCTATGATTACAATCATTAGCAATCAAGTATATCTAAGATAACTTAATGTTTTAGAAAATTTGTCTTGTAATACCTATCACCTCATGATGTTTTGTTTTGTATAAACGACAGTTAAATATATATAAACTTACATCAAAGTGATCTTCACAAAAGTACAGTCTAGTTTTTGTAGACAATGACTTCGGGTCTTTTACCAGTTTTAACAAAGTATTTCTTGTAATTAAAATCAGTTGGCACTTGAATCCAAAACTTCCCCGGCGTACAATGCTCGTATTTTTGCATTCAGGCACAACGCAACAATTATCAAATATCTTATTAGTTTGCACAATCGTTTTATTTACTAAAGCAGTGACGTCACGAGATGAACAGTGCTTATTTCATCAGTTACACATACATATTTACATTGCTTGATTTTAAATCACCATAAACAAAGATTTGCTTATGTTAGGGGATTTCTACTTTCCAAACTACATTACAATTATAATTATAATTGCGTGAAATGAATTAAACGACAAATAATTATTATATAATAAAAGTGACAAACGGGCACACAGTCCACCTTGTGCTAAATGGGTGCTGTGGCCCATAGACGTCTATCCTAATAAACATTTTTTTAAATTATGTTTGTATGTCTGTCTGTCTGTCTGTTCAGACTAATCTTCGAAATGGCAGAACCATTTGTAATGTAACTTTACGTACAGATAGAGAACAATGTATGGAGTATCTTTATAGTCTAAGCTAGGCTATATTTTATCCGAAAAACTTGAGAGATTTTATTTTAAATCGAAAAATTGATAAAATAATTGTGCGTGAGTTTGAAAAATTGATAAAATAAATGGTCTTTGATGTTATGTCAAGTAAACAACGTCACATTGATACATCCCACTATTTCATCCATTCACAGGTTCTAAATGAACGTCTATCCCACTGCGTGGAGTTGTTACAGCTTCTGTCGTCTTGGGCAGCGGACAGGCACCATGTGAGGCTGGAGTGGATGATCATTGCGCTCATCTTGGTGGAAGTCTGCTTCGAGCTGCTACATTTCTTCGAGAGGTATTTCATGAGACCGGCCACGATTGACAGTAGTTAGAAGATGTAGTGAATGTAATTTTGGGGGATATTTATTTTTGTAGTGTAAAATAACTTAGCTATTTGGTTTGTACATTGTATTTGAATGTCGATTTATTGTGGTTTGTGTTTTTGATACATGGGCTTTGGTTTTTAATATGGGTTCCTAAGCTTGATGATCTGTGGTATGGGAATTATCGCTGTACAAAGTTATTGACTGTTTTAAGTTTAAATATAGTAAAGATCTGAAAATCAATTGTTCGGTTTATTAAGGTTCTCCCTTTCACAACGTTCTGAAATGTCTATATTAGTATTATTTAAGGTTTAATAAAATAAAGATTAAAGTTTACTATCAAATAGTAAAATTTGATAGTAAACCAACTCGCTTGTCAAGCGTGGCAGCTATCGCAAATATCCCTCCTATGAGGCAATCCGAGGTAGAGGATTATGTTCAGCAGTGGACTTTGGATAGGATGTAAAGGAATCTAATGGTAAGATTTGAAACTTACGGTAAACATGTTGTATACATTCATTAATTACGAAATAAATTGTATAAGCTGCTACTCGTTTAAATTTTTGCAATTGGCTAGGGACACCTTAGCGGAATTTTATCGAATAAATTGGCGATTTTGTGACGGTATGTCTAAGAATACCCAATAACTAACAAGCGTATAACATGCATAGGTACCTATATAAATATGAACAAATGCTAGAGAAGTGTGTGTTAGGATCGTGTCAAATAGAAGTCCGCAGTCTCTGCCTGGCGCTATGGGTGACAGGTTGAGAGTTTATGTTATGTAATTTTAATTTAATGTATAATATAATTATCATTAGTCTTGGGATCTGCATAAAGCTTATTTAATTGTAATGCTTTTATCTTTTATAATTTCATAACAGTGTAGTTACTAGTTATAATACATTAATTTGTAAAATATATTTACAAAAAATGGCGACTGAACATGGAATAATATTGATAAATGTAATTTTTGTACAAAGCAATGTGGTGGCAGCATAAGTGAATGTATATTTCTGTCTCCGTAAGTGTAACTAGAGTCAAAAATATTTAAAAAAGTGTAGGATACATATTTGCGTTTAGAAATGTTGAACAAAAAACATGATGTTCGGTATTTTTTTATACATTGCACAACCTGACGCACAATATTGTAAACTAACTGTCTCTTTCCTTTATATGGTTTGATTGTTTAGTCTCTTTATATTTCAATTCGCACATTGATTCTATTTACATAGATAGTATGTTCCATCTTATTCGTCGGACGTTAACGTGTCCACACCTTGTTTAATATCATTAATTAAAACAGTTTTAATTTACTCAGACAGACAGAATTCATCAGCTTATTTTAGATTGATATTTTTTTTAAATACATTTGTTACAAGAGTGCACTCATGGGGCAGTCCAAAACTTAACCAGGTCTATAAAGATAATATAATAAAAAGTACTGATCTAAAATCAATATTACTAGTTGAGAATATATGAAAATGAAAATTTTATATTAAAGTAGTTAGCGCACATACATTACTATTTGATACTATCAATTTGATAGTAAACATTTTAACTTTACGATTTAATAAAACGGATACGTTTGGAGTTTAAAAAATTCTTGCCAAAGTTTAATAGTTACATTTTATTTAATTATTATAAAATATATAATGTCGCTTGTGTTAATATATTTGTATGTTATGTATTTAAGACTGTATAATAAACATATATGTAGTTGATAATAAGTCGACAAAGTATTTATTTATTTATAAATTAATAACTTTTACATGTTAAGTATTATAATTGTTAATAAAGACATGAGAACATTTTATTAATTGTGCATTTAATTATTTCAAACACATAATTTCCAAGGGTTATTGTAAATGTATTTAATGTGTAAGTATCTTACTTATTTATATATTCTGGAAGTCATTTGCTTTGCATTTATTCAATACAAGACATAAAATTAAAAATTTTGTACAACCGACATCAATAGAAATTTTTAAGGATAACTCATAAAATACTGGTCAGACCTTTATATGGGACCACATGAGAAGCACCAGCTTTCAAATAAGAAAATTATATTAAAATCGGTTCACCTAGAAAACACTAAAGTGGTGGTAACGCCAAGCTTTTTAGAGGCACATTTGGCCTTCTCTTCCAAGTGACCACGAAACTGAACGTCAGTCGATATGTCGACAGCGCGGTTTTCGATACTGGCTGAGGCAACAAGGGGAGTGCGCTGAAAATGAGGAGACACGACAAAGGGGTTCTTTTTAGCAGTAAACGCGCAAACTTGTGTCTTCTGGGGATTGAACTGGCCTAAATTTAGTCGCCCCCAATCCCACTTCAGACACAAGTTTGTTTTGGTACTCGACGACGTGTTCCCGGAAAATATTTGCACGGCCGATGTATAAAGCATCACCAGTGCTGTCGTCCGCATAGCAATGAATGTTACCGGTCTGCAACATATCATTGATATGCATAAGAAACAGTGTTGGTGATAGCACGCAGCCTTGTGGAACACCAGCGTTAATAGGCTTGTAATCTGAGCATGCGCCATGACTACGACCTTGATGCTATGCGATTGGCCAGAAAACTGATGATCCAATTGCACAATTTCTCGGGATGCCCATAGGAAGGAAGCTTCGAAAGAAGCGCTTTGTGCCAAACCCGATTGAAGGCTTTCGCTATATTCAAACTAACATGGGAACAGTGTTCCATGTGGGGCCGAACTTGCGCCTTGTAAAGTCGCAAGCGGTGTGCGGGCATGAAATACTGTCCCGCTCTGCTGAGTACGCCAAGCTTTTTAGAGGCCAATTTGGCCTTCACTTCCAAATGACCACGGAACTGCAAATCGCTCGATATGTCGACACCGAGGATTTCAATACTGGCTGAGGCAATAAGGGGAGTGCCTTGAAACTGAGGAGATACGACAAAGGGGTTCTTTTTAGCGGTAAACGTACAAACTAGTGTCTTATGGAGACTAAACTGGACTAGATTTAGTCGCTGCCAGTCCGAGACAGTTCAACAAAGTCTCGACTTCGGACACGTTTGTTCCGGTACTCGGAAACGTTTTCCCGAGAAATATTGACACGGCCGGTGTATAGGACATCACCAGTGCTGTCATCTGCATAGCCGTGAATGTTACGGGTTTGTAACATAGCACGCAGTCTTGTGGAACAGCAGTGTTTAAGGACTTGTAATCGGATCATGCACCGTCTACTGCGACCTTTATGCGGCTATCTGCAAGCAAATTAGTGATCTAATTGCACAATTTCTCGGGAAGGCCATAGGAAGGAAGCTTCGAAAGCAGCGCCTTTTGCCAAACCAGATCGAAGGCCTTCGCAATGTTCAAACAAACGGCCAACGCCTCCCTCTTGGACTCCACTACCTCCGCCCATCTATGAGTTAGGTAAACAAGAAAATCACCAGCTGAGCGACCCCGACGAAAACCGTACTGGCCGTCACTAATCAGCTGGTGCTCCCCAAGGTACGACATGAGCTGGCAGTTAATAATAGACTCCATTATTTTCGAGAACAAGGAGGTGATGGCGATTGGCCTATAGTTGGACGGATAAGAGCGGTTTGCTTTTTTAGGGATCGGGTGGACGAAAGCTGTCTTCCATGAATTCGGGACAGCGCCTAAGGAGTAGGAGTACTGGAAACGACGCGTTAGAACCGGTGTCAACTCTGGAACGCAAGTCCTCAGCACTATTCGCAGGAATCCGTCAGGCCCGGTCACCTGCACGCAGTGCTTAATTAGGTTCTACGGATCTACTGATGTTAGAAAGCTTTTAGAGCGCTGTAACTTATTGAAAAAAAGTGCATTCACCGAAGTACACAGTCACGTCACTCTATCAAGTACGGAGGTAAGGTCTCATCATAAGTAACATAACGAGCACAATCTCGGCACACCTAGTTCTACTCGTCCAGGAGTTCTAGTAGCAGATACCGGAGTACACCTTCAGATCATTCCATAAAGTTCGAAACGTATCATCATCATCATTACAGCCCTTGACAAGTCCAAAGATCACTAAATCAAGATTGGTTCGTCTGTTTGGGGGGTTAAAAAGAGTAGCATAATCAGTGGAGTAGCGTGCCTTAGAGGGGCCCCGTATCAATATTTGTCGGGGGGCCCAAATGAATGTTAAAGATTTTTCACAAAAGGAACAAACTCTCGCATTGAATTATAATTATTATATATAAGTTATTACTTACAATTAATACTTCTAGGAACTAAGCTAGTCAAACAATTCAAACCAACATCCTGTCCCATAGAAGTCCTTAAAATTTTTGCTTACATACGTTCGGGGTCTCTGTAGCCCGGAGGCCCCATATCATTGGTACGGCTGATACGGCGCTAGCTAAGCCCCTGAGCATAATACTACTGTGCTTTTCGTAAACTGAGTGTAGAGAATCGGCGGGGAATTAACACGTAAAAAGGTATTAATGTAAGCTTTTAACTCCACAGGGGTTCGAGACGCTACATTCGACGTCGGATATCAACGCACGACTTGGAAGATCCTCTGCTCCACGATTTGTCCATCATTGATACATGAAGATTATCAACGTTTTTACTGACCGTGAGTGAATGTTCGTAAAATAACGAGAAAGTAAGGAGGACCTTTTTAACTTGTAATTAAGCATACCAGCTTAGTCCTCAAAGGTAACAACGCATTCTACATTTTGATTCTTTATCGAGGGTAGATGTAGACTAACGACCGCACTATCCATTTACCATCAGATGGACTGTGTGCTCATTTGTCGCCCATAATTCTAAAACTAATAAAAACTGGGACCAGAATATTATATTTAATGTTGGGTGGTGCTTTGACCGAAATAGTTTGCTACTTTTTCAAAGTTTAATAAAAACGATATCATTAAATAAAAAAAAAATAAAAGAAAAATATTAAATACAATTCAAATTTTTATTAAAAGATTCATTTATTATGTAATCAATATTAAAATAGTATTTAAGTTTATTAAATTTTATCAATAAATAAAATACAATACATAATAATATATTAACAGACACATATTGTGTTATAGTAGTATGCGAACTGAAACTTCTCCAAGTCACTTCCTCCCCTTAATACTTTTCCAGTCTACAATCTTACTCCAGTACAGTCCAATCAATATATTTTTTAGGTAAATACATGCGAATTGATGTAAACTGCAATAAGTTTAAATGAAATAAAATATTTTCGTTACATATCATGAAGTTTTATTCAATAAAAATTCCTATGTAGCGTATATAACCTATTGACTTTAACTATAAAATAAGGATTGATGTGTCGGCAAAATAGTAAATTTTAACGTAGTAGAGCCGCGCTGTAGCTATATTATGGCTGTAGTACGAATGGGTCAGTTCGACCAGGGAAGGATAGATTAGATAGATGGATAACACTTTATTGTACCTACGCCAAAAAAAATTAAAAAAGGAGGAAAAAGAAATGTACATTGAATGGTCTTATCACTAAGAGCGATCTCTTCCAGACATCTATGCTCTCACAGAATATCAGCAGAAAATAGCAGTAGGTATAAGTAATCCTGTTGCGTCACAGAATAAATAATAGTACTATGTACGGAAGTTGCACTCTTTTGATGTTGACTGCTTGCCGACGTTTTAATAGCCTACATAGTTATTATTAATCAGATAAATCGCGCACGCAAGCTAAATTAAATTTTATCGCTGCGCGCGAGTGTTCGTATTACTTTACATCTTTTGTCCTTACTACGTCACAACGGACTTTCCGTGGTTGCTAAGGGCTGTTAATAAAGAGTAAAAAAAACATTGTGTAATAGTAAGTTACTTAGGTAAAGTACCTATGCTGACTATAATCGACCATATTATCTACTATGTGAGTTCTGTGATTCCCAACGCATGCAACTTGCAAGGCCATTCGTCGGGAATCGCGATGCTTGGTTCGTATAGGTAGATAGCGTAAACAACAAATAAACCCGAAATACGATTCCTAACAGAAATATGATCATAATCTACTTAGTTGAAAATCTTGTAAACAAAGTTTTAATTTCAGTATTTTGTGCTATTATAACTTAAAATATTTTAATTACAAAGACGAGTATAGGTATGTAAGTAGGTACTTGGGTAGTGAAGTAAATTTCAACAAAGTTTTGTAATAAAATACTTAGGTATTACTTCTGTAGTTCAATTATTACTTAATAATTTTTTCGCTATAAGTACCTATCTAACAAAAAAAAATTAAATAAATTTACCTTTCATTACCCTTCGGTAACTCAAAAAATGATAAATCTGAATCCGTTTAATTGCTCATTAAGCATCCAGCCCCGCAACAATTATAGAAGGAATGACGTTTTGCCATTATAGTTTATCAAATAGGTAGGTAATATACATACTTATATTATTCTTAAATTACATTAAAACTTTTTCAACTATTTTATCCTACAATTAAATATACTAAACACTAAACAAAAATTATTTCGACGAGTATTTCAACAAGTATTTACAAAAATTATTTACGTAAACCGCGTTAAAATAACTTTAACATTCAATCGCCTAGAGCGCGCTAGCCCCGACTGCGATCTACCCCTGGGGCAGCTCGCGATTGTAGGCAATTATTTCGCGCAGGTAGCAAGAGTGACAGAGGCCTGGTTGCGTTTCGTACGTGTGTGTAGAGATCCGGATACCCGTTTTTTCTGGTAACAAGGCACGCTATCCTAGTATCCTCAGGGGTGACAACGCATATATACATTTCGATTTTTAATCAGGGATAGTTGTAGGTTAAATGAAACTAATTTTTACGGATTTTATCGCGTTTAATTTAACTTTTAAAGGTCACGGGGGGGGGGGGGGGCTGTTCCTGTTACTGTTAAATTAAACGCGATAAAATCCGTAAAAATTAGTTTCATTTAATGTGTAGTCTTCGCGTAAGAAATCATTAGTTGTAGGTTTCTATAGGGCTCGTGATCCACTTACCATCTATTGACTTAGTGCTTAGAGATTGGAATGTACTCGTATGTATGCCCTTACTCTATAAAATTATAATTTTTATATTAAAATAAATAAAAATTATATTCACTTATAATTTTTATTTATTGATTACAATATAAGTGCTGTGGTAGCTCGGGATAGCTTTGATCTTTCTCCGGTCGTGTCGGTTTACTGTATCATCGGACTATGAGAGTGAGGGAATAGTGAGTGCACCTGTGCTTGCGCATACACTTGGGCATTATAATCCTCTCCCGCGCCGATGGCACAGAATAAATAATAGTACTACGTACCGGTGGCTAGTATCCGTTGAGGCTGGCCACCGTGACCAGACCTCTGTAATAATGTCCACATTATTATATGCTTCTACTGTTTTATTAACTTGCTGCTTTCGTATGTTTTTCTGGTTCAAAATTTGTAATCAATTTTTGAAGCACTGGCTGACATCCGATCGAGATGTAATTTGGTATAGTACTTGATTTAACTTCGATGACAATGCAATAATATGGTAGATAACTTACTAAAAATACAATGGAGACTCCTCGAATTTATGGTAGATTTGTCACATTGTATTAAATATTATAAAATCTAAACAGCAATACCTTTCTATTGTGTTATAGTAGTTGTAGTAAGTACTCTTTTTTAAAAGGCCGACAACGCACCTGCGATTCCCCTGGTGTTGCAGTTGTTCATGGGCGGCGGTCGACACTTGCCATCAGGTGAGCCGCATGCACGTTTGCCCCGTCTTCCATAAAAAAATTTGACGATCTTTACCATGGAGCTGATGTGATGATGGACCAAGACAAGACGCTAACCTTAACAAAGCCTATATAAATGGAAACAGAAACTTTTTAATTCAATATAGACTATAAATAATACTTATTGAAAGTCACTTTTATGTTTAATTTATGGAAGCCATACACTATCTAGTTTATCGTCAAGTTTGCAGCGCGCTTGAAGCGGCACGGCGTCCAATTTGCAGTGTATCCATATAGACCACTCACGTTAAAGTTCGCCGTCTAGTTTGCATGATGCCGCACCAATTGACACCATGGCGTCACCAGTGACGTACGACGACGCGTTAGTCATCCTGGGCTTATTGCTCCGACTAAAGTCATGCATACTTGACCGCTCACACACTTCAAGTTTACGTAACTTTTTTTATAGGATAGGGTAACAAACGAGCACACAGTCCACCTGATGGTAAGTGGTTGCTGTGGCCCATAGACATCTACATTTATCCTCGTTTGTGAGGACTAAGATGGAATGCCTCTTTTCCAGTAAAAATTGTCTCCGGTTCTCTACACTCACCATACGAAACACAGCAGTGTTAAGCTGCTATTTGACGCTGGTATTCTGTGAGAACGTGGTCCTTCCCCGGTCGAGCCGACCCATTCGTGCTACAACTATACTATACTATAGCTACACAAAACTCTCCAATAACTCCCCAATCTTGATAAAGTCGGCAGAATCGAAATTAAATTTTTGCTTCAAGTAGACTTGTCATGCACACCGATAACCATACACCGTCAAGTTTACCGGACGCCGCTTCAAGCGCGCTGCAAACTTGAGGGTAAACTGGATCGTGTATGGCATCCATTACCATTAGTTCTGTTCTAGGAAGAACCAGCAGGAAACCCAGCAGGATTTTTTTTTAAAGAACGTTATAATATATTACACAATAATTAACAACACAAAACAAATTAGAATAAATTTCTAATTGTTATAATAACCCTGTTTGTACAATCTTTGTTTAATGAAGTTCGGGGAAAGTCAGATTTTGTATATTTTCTGAGATTTTGTTGTAAAAGCGTATACATCGCCCCAAGTATTAATTATTGATTGTGTGGAGTCGAGAGTATAAAAGCTTATTTATGAATAGATTTTACATTCAATTAGTTTATTTCATTAAAATGCACTGATAATAATCATCGTTCAGAATATTGCATTGAAATCGACACAAGCATTGTTCATGACCGCCTGGTACATATACGGACACTGACATGACTGGGTCGCGTTATTGTTTCCAATATTTTACCTTCACAATAAGAAACGACCCCGAACGCCATCACAAGCATATTATTAGCCTTAATTTCTCATAAGTTAATTAAAAATAATGACGCGAAATGAATGAGCAAGTGATGCCTATCGTAAAATTCTCTTTGGATAATACATTTATCGTTGCATGAAATTGAATGTCCGTTTTTACGTTATCAAATACTTTATGTTGATTGAAAAAGGGGTCGTTTTGTTTTGAATTTATGAGAGATACTCGTACGTCTTTTTGCTTACAGTACTTCAGGTCCAGAGTCGATAATGTCATCAATACCTTCAATGTAAATATGGCTTTATCTTTTAAATGATTCGCTTAATGATTGTTTGTATATTGTAATTTATTCGTTCCCGCCTTCGAGAAACATTTTTTAAATATTTTAATTCTACAATTTCTCTGTACAAAATCGCCGACTCCTAATATATTATTCATTTATATCAAAAGCATTCACTTGGAAAACAGGTTTGCCTTTTTTTTATTATAAGTTGTCAGGAAGATGATTCTGCTTTACTGTTCCAGTTTCCCTCTGTCACCTC